TCTACAGATGAGATATCATTAGTTTCGAAATTTAAAACAGTTAAAAGTTATTTTCTTTCATGGTTCTTCACAACTTTCGACCAATTGTGATTGCCCCATGACCTTTGAAGTTGAAAATACTTTGGATAGACTGCTAATATAAAGTACAACTATCTGTTATAATATTTATTCACTATATAATTTAAATATAAATTATATAAACAATATAAAAGACATGACTTTTTAATGTGGTTGATTTTCCATGCAAGTAAAAACCATGTAAATAGAAAGTAAACAATTTTCAGATTGTTATTTGGTGTCCCATGTAAATTATACTTTCTCTCTCTCTATCTCTGAATATAGCAAATTAAAAATTATGAATTTTGAATCTGCCCAAATCTCAAAAGAGGAACCCTCAAAACACTAACTCTAAAGCGCACACACGCCCACACACACACAAACAAAACTTAAACTAATAGCAGTAGGAACTTAAATTACCAGCTTTTAAGTAACAACTTTGTGTCACCGAGTCAGTTTAAGCTGAAACACTGTTCATAGTGTAAGGCAAATTCTACCTCAAAATAAATAAATAAAAACCTAGACAAGACTGTAGCAGCTGCTGAGGTGTGAGCAGATACACGCTTTAGTGATGTTTACATTATTACTCTCTCCTTAGTCCTGGCCTCAGTTCAACCCAGGACACAGTTTATGTTAGCGCATTCAAAATTGACTGTCCCACATCATTGATAAGAAACAGACGTAACAAATACAGCATACTACCCCCACCCCACCATATAAACATATCTTACTTTAATTTATCCTGGGATGAGCGGCGTCGCCAGCTCGCCGGAAGCAGATAAACGTCGGTAGCTGAGGACACGGAGGAGGAAAATCCTCAGACAATAAGAAAAAAAAACGATAAATTCTTAAATGAAATGGGTCCGTGTAGGGGTTCAGCTCTCGTTTGTAGAGTTAGAGTTCCACAGAAATACCAAGATATGAAATGACGGTTCAATTCCCCCTTAGCAAAGTGAGAGAGAAGCTAGCAGCGCAGCTCCGCGGCCTCCGGAGCCTTCGCGAATATATATCGGCAAAATAGATTTCCTTGGGCGATATGGTCAATATTAAATACACTAATCAAAAGATCAAAACTGTCGTCCAGTAAAATGAGCTCAAACTAAAAATACAAATATTACTGTCTGTCAGGTTTGATGCGTTTTGTCAGATAGCTGCGGATGCTAAGTTAAACTCCAGGATATTCGAGTTCTTCAAACACGTCTTCACAGAACGATTCGTTTCTCCCCGAAACACTTAAATATTCCGACACGAACGGACTCAGGTTATTTAAACAGCGATACCGCTGAAAAAGCTACACGTAAATGACGACAGCTCCGAGTTTTTGTGGTACGGCGTTGCTTATTACTGCATGAATCAGGACTAAGTTCACACAGCGGCATCTACTGGATGACATGATTTGAGAGCCATGGGTGGAGCGTGAAGTCCAGCTCCACCTCTCTGGGTGTCATTTGGGTGTAATGGGTGGAGCTAGAAGGTCCAACTACTATGGCAAGCCGTTTTAGCTTTAATTGTACCCAGCCTTACGCGTCGTAATTACATTTTTACTAGTAATAATTCAATTAGAGAGCTCTACAATTCAATTCTTACTAGTAACAATTACAATTAGAGAGCTCTCTAATTCGATTATTACTAGTAACAATTACAATTAGAGAGCTCTCTAATTCAATTATTACTAGTAACAATTACAATTAGAAAGCTCTCTAATTCAATTCTTACTAGTAAGAATTACAATTAGAGAGCTCTCTAATTCAATTCTTACTAGTAACAATTATTATTAGAGAGCTCTCTAATTCAATTATTACTAGTAAGAATTACAATTACAGAGCTCTCTAATTCAATTCTTACTAGTAACAATTGCAATTAGAGAGCTCTACAAATGAATTTTTACTAGTCATATGTCTCCATTGACTTCCATTCATTTTTAATTAGAGAGCTCTATAATTGAATTGTTACTAGTAAGAATTACAATTAGAGAGCTCTCTAATTCAATTATTACTAGTAAGAATTACAATTAGAGAGCTCTCTAATCCAATTCTTACTAGTAACAATTACAATTAGAGAGCTCTCTAATTCAATTCTTACTAGTAACAATTACAATTAGAGAGCTCTCTAATTCAATTCTTACTAGTAAGAATGCAATTGCAGAGCTCTCTAATTCAATTATTACTAGTAAGAATTACAATTAGAGAGCTCTCTAATCCAATTATTACTAGTAACAATTACAATTAGAGAGCTCTCTAATTCAATTCTTACTAGTAAGAATGCAATTACAGAGCTCTCTAATTGAAATTTTACTAGTAAAAAAACGAATTAAAGATATGTATAATTGGAGAGCTCTGTAATTGAATTAGAGAGCTCTGCAATTGCATTCTTACTAGTAACAACTGAATTAAAGAACTCTCTAATTATAATTGTTACTAGTAATAATTGGATTAGAGAGCTCTCTAATTGGAATTCTTACTAGTAATAATTCAATTAGAGAGCTCTACAATTGCATTCTTACTAGTAACAATTGAAATAGAGAGCTCTCTAATTGAATTAAAGAGCTCTGCAATTGAGTTGTTACTAGTAAGAATTGAATTAGAGAGCTCTCTAATTGTAGTTCTTACTAGTAACAATTGCATTAGAGAGCTCTCTAATTGAATTGTTACTAGTAAGAATGCAATTAGAGAGCTCTATAATTAAATTACAGAGCTCTTCAATTGTAATTGTTACTAGTAACAATTCAATTAGAGAGCTCTACAATTAAATTGTTACTAGTAAGAATTGAATTAGAGAGCTCTCTAATTGTAATTGTTACTAGTAACAATTGAATTAGAGAGCTCTCTAATGGTAATTCTTACTAGTAACAATTCAATTGTAGAGCTCTCTAATTGTAATTCTTACTAGTAACAATTCAATTAAAGAGCTCTGTAATTAAAAATGAATGGAAGTCAATGGAGACATATGACTAGTAAGAATTCATTTGTAGAGCTCTCTAATTGGAATTGTTACTAGTAAGAATTGAATTAGAGAGCTCTGCAATTGTAATTGTTACTAGTAATAACTGAATTAGAGAGCTCTCTAATTGTAATTGCTACTAGTAAGAATTGAATTGTAGAGCTCTCTAATTGAATTCCTACTAGTAAGAATTGCATTAAAGAGCTCTCTAATTGAATTAAAGAGCTCTGCAATTGCATTCTTACTAGTAAGAACTGAATTAGAGAGCTCTCTAAATCAGTTTTTACTAGTAATAATTGCATTAAAGAGCTCTCCTAATGTAATTCTTACTAGTAAAAACTGATTTAGAGAGCTCTCTAATTTAATTGTTACTAGTAAGAATGCAATTGCAGAGCTCTTTAATTCAATTAAAGAGCTCTGCAATTACATTCTTACTAGTAAGAATCGAATTAGAGAGCTCTCTAATCGCAATTGTTACTAGTAAGAATTGAATTAGAGAGCTCTCTAATTGTAATTGCTACTAGTACGAATTGAATTGTAAAGTTCTCTAATTAAATTTTTACTAGTAAAAATGAAATTACAACAAGTAAGGCTGGGTACAATTTAAGCTAAAACGGCTTGCCATACAACTACACCCCTACCTACTAGTGATGTTACATTTGACACTGAAGCTTCAAAGCGCGTATCGAGTAGGCTACGCAGCGCAATTTCTCATGAAGCTCCGTGCTGGAGCGCGTATTGTTTTCAGAGAAACATGTGATCAACGAAAAACGAAGCCTCACTTTCTTTCCAGTCAAGTGAATGCTTCACTTTGCATGTCAGAATGTTTGAACCGAGACCACTAACTCTACAGGTTTTTGGAAGTTTAAGTCCATTTACCAATTTTTTTTTATTTTTTATAAATAAGCCTATAGTCTATGTTACATGATTATATATTCTGACACATAAACAGCATAGAACCCATAAAATAATTAGACCAACATTTATTGCATCAAGCAACTCTGTTGGTATTTTTATAATTAGTATTAATATAATTGTTACATTTAATCTATTGCCACACTTTAATATTGAAAAACTGAACATTTAGCGTTGTCAGGCTTTTATTTGTGCAGTGCTTAATGGATAAAACAACGGCGCTGCACACTCAGCTGCTCATAAACAGGGCTGCCCTACCCATAATAACTATATCCCTCCACGGCTCCACCCATTAGATCCACAGAGTTGGAGATGCATGTCATTTGGCTCTGCAGGAGCAACACTTGCAAGATTCTGCCACCTTCGCTGCTCATGATTTAACCCTTAGTGACCTATGGGGAGAAAAATATACACATTTATTCTTCTAATATAATTGCACTATATATAGACATTATTATATATGATGCATTCATATTACATATATATTATGAATTAGGCTATATATTTGCCTAGCTTACACTTACCCCACATGGAATTCTGATACGAATGTACAGAGAATAGGCCTACCTCTAAATACATTTTAGTTTAACTTTCTGTACCGTCACTCACAATTTTTATTTATTTATTTCATCCATTCTCCAAAGTACTTATCCTCGGTGGGGGTCAAGGGTTATTTATTAATATAAATAAATTATGTCTGAATATATAAAATTTAGAAGTGTATTGGAAGTAAATATATGTTTAAGTAAGTTTAAATATCTATGAAGGAAAATAGATCTAGAAATTCCTAGAAAATAGTGTTCATCTGTAAATATTTGTAGAAATATGAATTTGGATGCTTTGTGTTACAATGTTCCAGGGTTTTAATTTTCAAATATTTGACTGGACCTCTGTTATTCCCATTATCAGCATTGGAAATGTCTGAGGTCACCAGTTGGGAATCATGCCCCCATTAGACAGGCAGAAAGAGAGAAACCATCACGTCCCTGTAGGAGGCCTATAAATAGAGTTAGCTTCTAAGAGGAACGGGGAAATGTTGGGTGGGTGTATGTGTGCAAGCATAATGTGAGCATGTGCGGAACCGGTGTGAAACATTTGCCTTAACGTGACTGTTTATTTGTGTACATGGACAGGGGAGTGACTCCTCCAGAATATAAAGGAACTGAGGAGTGAATTAAGCTGAGAAAACTGAGCCACCTCAGATTCTGATACTAAGCTTCATATTCACTCATCGCTCCTTTGGCATCTGTCTTCAAAGAACAATATGGCAGAAGAACAGAAGTTTTCAGAAACATCTGTCCAGCTGACTGAAGCTGCTCCACAGACTGTGGACAGGTTTACTGCCCCTGGAAATATTTATTCAGCCATTCTGAGCCGTAATGAGGCTGTTAAAGATGCCAGGCGGCTCAAGGAATTTCAGGAGCTCAAAGACAAATATGTACGCAAAAAAGTCATCTTTGAAGATCCCCTGTTCCCGGCCCAGGACTCGTCTCTCTTTTACAGTGAAAAGTTCCCACTAAAGCTTGAATGGAAGCGCCCATCGGTGAGTGGCTTACCGTAAGGTGGCAGTGTGCATGAGATCAGCTGCATTGCGCATGTCTAGTACAGAGATGTTTGGATAATAAAATTTCTGCATTTCCAGAATATGTATTTTCTTTTTTGCTTATTAAAACGAAATTTATTTTCAATTTAATTCAATATTTTTTAAATATTATTGTACAACATTTATTTAATTTTTTCCTTTTTTTTGTATGTAATTTAATTTAAATATTTTTTTATTAATTTGTATTTTTTATATATATATTATTTATTACAAATTATTTTATTTTTGCCTTTGGTTTGTGACCTGCTTAAATAAGTAGGAATTTCTTTATTTCCTCAATTACAATCTCCATTAACTTCCTCCTTACCTGCCTATAATACCTTCATAAAATGAATGTATTTACTGACTATTGCTTAATTGCAGTGTAGGCCTATTCATTTTTCACTTGGTTTCACTGAAAAAAGGACGTTACATTTGTTTTCAGTCTCCATCTGAATACACTGGGGCATGAGATACAATATTTCTTGCAGGCATGCCATGAGAATGTGGCAGTGCTCATGTAGTGTGTGTTCTCAACCAGCTGACTTTCCAATGCTTCATAAAGCAGAGCTCTACCTGATAATAGACTTGTTTATGTAGACTTGAGAAGAGCATCTGCTAGAGTCTTCACTGGATATATGCAGTGTTTTTTGCTAGTCCATCTCATGTTACTTATAAAAACGTTACTGTTTTGATTGATGCGTGACATACATTAACTAGTTTTGCCTGATGATAGCCTACTGCTTCAGAGAATCAGGTTACTGGAAGAGGTCTTTGCTATGTGCTAAGTCGTTAAAACAATTTTTGGAAGGTTGCTTCAAAAAGACAATCATGCCGTTTCAGACTGACACTTTAAAAATAATGAGTATGTGTCTCCCTGGACTTACATACTGTACATTATCCTGCCTTGATGTCCATGTGCCTTGAAGCGAAGTTCCTGTAAGCAAACTTTATGACCCAGGACAGCTGCTGTATTTCTGTGGTGGTGCTGAGATCTTCACATATATAGCCATATTTTTTTGTGAAGCCAGCAGAGCTCTAACAATACAATATGATAAAAAAATTATTATAATAACTGTAAGGTAACGTAATTGCTACTGCTGTACTGCATTTTGCCCTGAAGATGTCTGTGTGTTAGTCCTGTTGTTGTTGTTGTTTTTGTTGTTGTTGGTTTGATTGTTGTTTTTATGAGACCGAAGGCAAATTTCCACATCGTGGACAATAAAATGAAAATGAAATGAAATGAAATGAATAAGTTTCTATCTTCCCTAAACAGGAAATTTGTAGCAATCCACAGTTCATTCTTGGGGGAGCCAACAGGACAGATATCTGCCAAGGAGACCTGGGTACGAAAGTGTCAATATATGACATTCTATCTATAAAAATATCATAAAATACATGGGGATTCACCAATATTAAAATTCAGAAGGATGCCGATAAGCAGATAATTATTTGTCATGGCTGATAACTGATAAATGAGCAATATTAAAATTAAAATGAATCTATAAATAATTAAAAAACTAAAATAGATTTTAAATGCTACGTAAATTTAGGCATCACAACATTATGTAGCCTGCCTTTTGAAAAACTGATAGGCCCACACATTTCAAAATTGGAAATTCAAAAATGTAAATATGAAAAACATAAATTCAATATGTAACTTTTCTACTAAAATGAATCCTTTTTTTATTGCCTGTGTGTGAAGGGGTTGTAATCACACATTAAAATGATCCACTTGTCGAGTTTTGCTATTACCTCTGAAGGCCAGTATTCCTATTTCTATGTGAAGTCTCCGGGTCGGATTTACCGCGAAATCCAACGGATATGACGTGCATGCGCGCTCCCGAGCCTCTCTCCTTATATACAGTCTATTGTAGACGGTCAGGGAGTTACGTCCGGTTAAAGGCGCACGTTTTTCGGCTTATATCTCAGTCAATCTTTGATCAATATTCCCAAGACTCTAATCGTTTGTGGTGCTGGACGGGGCCTTTCGAACGAGCCCACCCCCGAGCTCCAACTCGCCCGGCTCCCCGAGTTATAGCCGTTCGAAATCGGGGGTCCCAGCGAACGGCGATCCGGTAGGGGGCATCCCCGAGGCCCGCCACTCTAGCGTTCGGGCAAGGGTTCCCCTGGGACCTCCTCCCCCGAATTTGAGCTCTCTGGGTCTTTGCGTTCCAGAGATACGAGCGATTATCTTCTGAGATCGTGACGTCACCGGCGTCCGCAATTTTGCAGCGCGCCCGATGGTTTTCTGCTAATATCTCCGCGAAAACACCACCAAAAACTATGGAACTTATATGGTTCTTTTCAGCTCGACTAGATGGTCCCAACGAGCTCGGTGCTCGCCGAGTCCGTCAAGTATTCGCCGAGATATTTGCGTAATAGACGGTATTGTCTATGAGTTCGAGCACGAGCGCTCTTGTAAAATTTGGTTGCAATCTGAAACATCACCACTAGAGGCCGCTAAAAGTTACATAGAGCACCTTTAACCATTAGATGATGGCAAAAGTAAATGTAAAATATGGGAAATTACCGAGAACAATTTAATAATATCGACAATACAGATAGTTAAAAGCTCTCTATAATATTAGCCTATAACCAAAATAGTACCAATATATATTGTGTTACCTCAAGCTGTTCTCTTGCCCTGGCGATCAGGGTCAAAAGTCACTGAGGTTCAGACGTCCGAGATACACAGACAAACTGTATCTGGCTTACTGTTATTAAAAAGGGAGACACCATGATGGAGGTACACAGCTGAAGTGGTCTGTGTTGAAGAAGGAGGCCCTGTCCCAAATGGCACACATGTGCACTTGTCTTTTGGATGTAGAGCAGGGTTCCTGAAATCCAGCCCTGGTAAACCAAGGTCTCTGAAGAGCTTATTTAGCTTAATGAGTGCAATGAAGACAATGAGTGCAAAAAAAGCGCTGCACGGGGTGTAAAAATCCATATCCCGGTGCTCTTTGGATGTAGGGAAAATGCGACTCATAAAAACATAAAGCCAAGGCACTGAAGAATTGGAACTTAATTAGCTTGTTCTACTAAACAAGCCCTTCTGCCCTGCAGAGGAACTAAACTCTGCAGGGCAGTGGCCCTATAGACAGAGTAGGGAGTCCATTTGTCATTTTAGGTTTAAAAAGGGTGCTTGCAAACGCCCCTTTGCACCTTCGATGTGCACTTTTGCAGAGCCCGCGAGCTCCGCAGAAGACTTCTACTAAAGTGACATTATGTCACGAAAATGTGGACTCAGAGGAGGATCACCAGGGCCCACTGAAACCTAAAATGACAAATAGGACACTCTTGTGGACTTAAGGGACATAGAGCATGCGGCGCCCATTGTAAGTCCACAAGACATCAAATGAACATGAAGTGTGCCATTTGGGACTGGGCCTTAGGATTCCATTTGGGACAGGGCAAGAAACTCGGGGTTTGCGATCCTGATTTTAATGAGATCCAAAGTTGCACATTTCCTGTTCAAAGCGTGGCAGAGTCAACAAAGATAGCCTTTGCTTGTGGTCTGCATATGGAAATGCCACCCATTTCCTCACCTCTCAACGTATCCAAACACTGTTGAAAAATAGATTGGTTGCGTGACACAGAAGGCTTGAAGAAATTAATAAAGTGTCCGCTGCGGTATCCATGTTGCGGTGCTGTATTCCACAGAGGCATCCCGTGAATGCATGAGGCGCATAGAGCAAAGGCGTTCATTTCTGCACCTGTACAGTGTACAGTTTCATACACGCAAAGGTTTTTCAGTGCAGTTTTTGTTTAAACTTAAATCCTTTGAATTTTCCATGAGCAATACTGCATTATTTCATTAATTTTCTTTCTTTTTTTTTGTCTGCGGAACAAAAAGGTGAAGCCGCTGTTTTTAAAATAATGAAAGTGAATGCGCAAATGACAATGACAAAAAAGTGGTCTATACGACTTATGCATTATATTACAAGCATAAAATATTTTGTATATTGTAAAATATCGAACCGAAATTAAACAGTAAATGAAACAATGTGGCAAAATATCCTGATAGCTTGAAATGTCCTGAGGTGTGATATGCTGAACGCATTCTAAAACTAGCATTTTTCAAATTGTTAAATGCACAGCATATATATATATATTTCACATATTTTTTAATAGAAGATTTTAGTGGGTTTTAGATTGATCCATTAACACCTGCAGGAGACTGCTGGCTGCTGGCTGCTATAGCTTGCCTGACCCTGAATGATATAATCCTGAAGAGGGTGGTTCCCCATGACCAGAGCTTCACTGAAAACTATGCTGGCATTTTTCATTTCCAGGTATGGACATCAACATTGGACTGTTCTGTATTCCAGATATAGTTTCTGATATATAAACATTTCTCTCCGATGAATAAGGCACAAGCTCAAATATTTATAACACCCTGTCTTTATTCTTCTAGTTCTGGCGCTATGGTGAGTGGGTGGATGTGATTGTGGATGATCGACTTCCCACATACAAAAACCAGTTGGTGTTCACCAGGTCTGGACAGAAGAATGAATTTTGGAGTGCTCTTCTGGAGAAGGCATATGCAAAGTAAGTTAAAAATCTTAATTTATTGATTTCTTTTTTCATCAGTAAGTAACAGAATAATACTTTGCCATGATGATATATAAGCTAAATATCCTTTTCTTCTGTCAAAAATACTGAATGTGTTGGTTTGACTTCTGTTTCCCAGGTTACATGGCTCTTATGAAGCTTTAAAGGGCGGAAACTCACTGGAGGCCATGGAGGACTTCACTGGAGGAGTAACTGAGTTATATGAGATTACAGAGGCCCCGAAGGAGTTGTACAACATCATGAGGAAGGCTCTGAAGAGAGGGTCCCTCATGGGCTGTGCCATAGATGTAGGCTTCCTTCTATTCCAAACGTATTAGATGCTGTTAGGGTTAAAAAACAGCTGATACAGTAAATATAGCTGACACTTCTTTGTGTGTGCTGTCTAAAATGTACTAACTATTAAGCTTCTTGTACACACTCCACTTATGCGGAACCGCATACTAGTATAATACTCTTACTACTTTTACCATATCTTATTATGGCGGAAATATTAGTTGTATGCTAATGCAGTTCTGAATTCCACATGTGTTTGCGCATTTCAGGTGAGATTGCTTACTGCAGAGCCAATAGGTAGAGCTTGATGTTGATGTGGAGCTCCCCTCTTTGGACATAATGGGTGGAGCTTAAAGGTTCAGCCACAGCCTAACCCTAACCTAATTCGGTCAAGCTCCACCCATTAGGCCCAGTAAGGTGGAGCTGGACCAGGTCGAACAAAAAAAGGAAACAAAAAAACTGACTGTGTCCGAAATTGCATACTCTCTTAGTAGGTACGGCTATTAAAAACTATGTTCTATATTGTAAGAACGTTTGTAGTATGAATGAAATCCAGACGTACTACATCAGTCATGTTGTCATTGTCATGTGACCTACCAGCGTTGGTTGTGTTGCTTCACTGCCATTCAAATACCAGAGATGGTCTATTATTGGAAGATACGAGGGTCCGTGGCTTTAACATTGGAGAAAGCGAAACGGCTAACTGGGATCACGTGTGACTTGATAACCAATCACATTACAGCCTTGACGTCATTAAATTCTGTTCAGAGTTGTGCTGTGACTTCTCTTATAAAACAGCATTTTTTTGGTGTAAACTCTAAAAATAGAATAATCCAAAATGAATGTTTAAGACCATTAGCAGGCATTAAACCTTTTTTTCAGCTATAAGGTTGCAGGCTTGCCTTCAACTGGCTTTGCTACTGACTTTCCTCTCTTGTGGCCTCATGGGATAGTAAAGTGTCCACTACTGTTTTATGACCTTGAATTCGGAAATACTGTATAATAAGTATGCAATTTCTGATGCAGCCACTATCTTTATGGGTGAGTCACTGAATCATTCATTCAATAATTCATTCAAATACAATGATTCATTCAGGAACTAAACTCTATGGTATATTCGTAAATGAAAACTATTTTCGTTGACAGATATACACGGGCAGTATTGTGTCTACAATTATTGAACTATTACACACAATCACAATCCTCTTGCTGGTTTGATATTAATAATGAAAGTATATGTGACAAGAAGTTTTATTATACTGTGACAAGCAGGGCGGGGCCGAGAGCCACAGAGCACCGGTCCCACAGCTCTCGGCCCCGCCCTGCTTGTCACAGTATAATAAAACATTTGAATAAAAATGGCTGTATCTGTGACATAAACGTAATGTGTCATTATATTTTGTTTCTCCTGCACAGAATTTGGTCCCAACTGCTCAAAGGACTAAAACTGCATCTGGACTCGTGAGAGGCCATGCGTATTCAGTCACTGGAGTTGAGCATGTGGGTTTGTCATTTACTTGAGCATTTGTATCTGTCACATCCTAATACATGACATTGCATAAGTACAGTCTTGGCATATACCAGCAACATATTTCAATGCAATAGCTAAAACCTCATTCACAGGGTAAACGTAAGGATGGTAAAGACCTATTGATTCGTCTGGTTCGTGTACGAGACCCCTGGGGGGTTGCCCCCCCTCCCGCCTGTAAGTCCAATGACTGGGCTGCACTAGCCACATCTGAGCAAGACAAGGAGAGACTCCGGCCTACAGAGCAAGGGGAGTTCTGGTTAGTACCTTCACAGCTTCATGAGACCATTAGGCTTCCAGAAAGTCTCAAACAGTTTATGCTTCAAACAGAATTATGCTTCATTTAATACTCATAAATGGAAGCCGGTCTCTTTTATAATTTTGCTTATTTGTCTTTATGCAAGGATGTGCTTTGAGGAGTTTCAGAAGAACTTCACCAAACTGGAGATCTGTAATCTGACCCCAGACACACTTGAGGACGACTGTATGTTAAAGTGGAGTGTGTACATACATGAGGGCCGATGGGTGAAAGGCTGCTCTGCCGGAGGCTGCAGAAACTTTCCTGGTATTTATAATCATTGTAACCTCATTTTCAATCATGATTAAAAGTCTAAGATGGTTTTAACAGCCACTTACATTAACAATATTGCTATTGCTGATGAATATATAGCTTAATAGTTAGGGATGATTACTTTTTTTATGTTATACATTAGATAATGGTAACATTGTAAATGTCTTTGCTGTCACTTGTCGTTAATTTAAGGCGTCTTTGCTGAATAAAAGAATCAATTTCTTTCAAAAAACAATCTTACTGTCCCCAAAAGTTGGAATTTATGCTTATATATTCATATATGAATGTACATGCAGTACTTATCTGTTGAGCATTAAAGACTGTGATTGGCTTTTCCATGAAAATTGTGTTTCGTATTTAAGCCATTTTCTTACAGATGAACAAGTTTTCAAACTATAACAAATATAAGTGTAAAAACTGACCTTTTAACCATGTCAAAACATCCCTACATCACTAATAAAAAGATATTTCTGTCTATTTTGTTACAGACACATACTGGACAAACCCTCAGTTCCGCCTGGTTCTTGTGGACGCGGACGTTAAAGAGAAGACCTGTACTGTGGTGGTGGCACTAATGCAGAAGGGCAGAAGAAAAGAGCGCTGCGCAGGTGCCGGCCTACACAACATTGGGTTTGCCATATATGAGGTGCGCTCAAACAACTACTCTTTCGGTATTAATAGGAACATTTCAGCATGGTACATGTAATCAATGTGGATGGCTAAACCGTATATTTATTAGTAGTTTAATAATCATTTTATCCATTGTCTTTTACAGGTTCCTAAGGAGGTATGACTATATCATGAAGAGACCACACTGATGATATCATATCATGATGTAATTGTTCAAAGAAAACCTGTAAATATCAGGGAATTTTGAAAATTGTGATTTTAAGATCAGGAAAACTCATGGAAAATTCTAAAAAGAATGTAGATTTTAGCTTAAATCTGAAATATAGGCTGGGCTAGAAATAATAATGAACAACTAGATTATTAGTTTAAAACAACCCTAAATTTTCCATATTCCACAAAACATTTATTTAAGCATAAGACATAATTGTAGCTTGTCTAAAGTTATACACCACAAAAAAAAAATCTTTGTCTTGAAATGTTCTATCTGCTGTCTTCATTTTAGATGAAGGGTAGCCAACAACAGCTGCAAAAGGATTTCTTCCTTTATAATGCTTCCATAGCTCGCAGCAAGTCTTATGTCAACATACGTGAGGTGACAGAACGTTTCTGCCTGAAACCGGGCGAGTATGTCATCATTCCGTCCACCTTTGATCCCCACAAGGAGAGCGAGTTTCTGCTCAGAGTCTTCTCTGAGAACAAGAGCACCTCAGAGTGAGTCCTAACACTGAATTTCTGTCTGATTATGAATGTCAAATCAGTTGTCATTATAATAGCATTAACTAATATGTTAACATATATTATCATGATGTTGTCATAAAAATTATATAGGCCTATATATAATTTTTTATATTATCATTATATTAATATGAAGATTAATAGAAGCCATTACTCCAGTCTTCAGTGTCACATGATCCTTCAGAAATAATTATAATATGCTGATTTGGTGCTCAGGAAACATTTCTTATTATTATCAGTTTAAAACAGCTGATTCTTAATATTTTTGTAGAAACCATCAAACACTACAAGAATAGTAACATTAAATGTCTTTGCTGTCGCTTTTGATTACCTTAATGCATCCTTGCTGAATAAAAGCGTTCAATTCTTTCACACAAAAAATCATACTGACCCCTAAAACGCATGCTTCACAAATTCATTAATTTTCATATATGAATGTATATGCAGTACTTATCTGTTAAGCATTATATACTGACTTTTCAATGAACTCATTTCATATTTAAGCCCTTTACTTACAGTCGAATATGTTTTTAAAGAACCTTTTGACCTGTAAATGCTCCTGTGCATTTGGCTGACAGCTGCACGTTTTCTCTCAGGGTTATAGATGCAGAGATTGAGTCAGAGCCTGTGGTGAGTCAACACCTGTCTCTGTCTGTCATGTTCTGTGGCAGCTCATAATAGCTGTGTCCCAATTCAGAGGCTGCACCCTTCAAAGGACGCGGACCTCAAAGGCCACGCCTACGAAAGCAGTGAAGTGTTGTTAAATGAGACGGTCTGGCGTACAGAGGATTGTTCTTGTCGCCTAGCAACTGACAGCTGCCATTGACGAGCAGCAGTAAACTGGACTTTTTCAACTTTCTGAAAACAAAACAGAGTTTACAACCTGTCTAAATATGTTCACCATGGTCTATTACTGTACATAATAAAGAGTATAAACTAAAATCTCATCTTAGTAAGATATGTTAGTATTAGATTTGAGTAATTTGAAACCCAATATTTACATTTAAAAGTGTAATCCAGCAATTTCTCTCAAAAAAAAACTCTGTTGTCATGCATTTCGAGACTGCATTTAAAGGAACCTTCCAATTGGGACAGCATTCGTCGCACCTCTGTGACGCAATCGGCCTTAGAAGGATACAGCCTCTGAATTGGGACGCAGCTCACATTTCATCCTGCCTCTCTACTTGTCCAAATCAATGAATCACTATGTCAAGTGTTAGTACAACCAAACAAAATAAAGTAAATCTCATATTCAGTAGCCTTTTCACTTTATAAACACCAAAGAGACTAAAAAGCATGTTTATATCTATCATTTCACTTTCTTATACCAACAGACGGATGATGTCAAGAAGAAAATCAAGGTAAATATGGAAATGAGATTGAGATGTTCCATCAATTTCCTTCCTTTTCTGTGCAATATTCTGTCAGCCCACGTCAGATGATAAAAAGGATGAGAAAGATGGGAAAATGCTCCGTTAATTAGTTGCACTGCTGCAGACAGACATCTTCAGTTGTGGTTCAGTAATGACTAACAGCATGAAAACAGCATGCAAATGTACAATATGTCAAAACTGTAATTCATAATGACAGTCAGAATCATAACAACACAAAACTGCCTTGTGCCAGTTTTTAAACAGTCTTGGAGAATGTTTCTCTGAGTTCTAAGACCATTTATTAAATGGACTTGCTTTTTTGTGAAAACGAAAAAAAAATGAAATACTATATATATATATATTGGCACAATATTTAAACTATTTAAAGGCACACTCATACACATTTACTGTATGCTCACTAATTTAGTATGTTGTACGTTCAGTATTTCTAATTTCTCATGTTCAGCCACTTGAGGAGGAGGAGGAGACTGAAGAGGAAAAACAGTTCAGGGCCATCTTTCAGCAGATAGCTGGAGACGTAAGAGCAAAAATGCATGTTTGAAATTCATATTTACTTCAAACTATAATTGTGACTGAATCACGTTCGCTCCTTGCAGGACATGCAGATTAATGCCAATGAACTCAGGACTGTCCTTAATAGAGCGATTGCCAGACGTGAGCGAAATCTTATTTTCTACTACTAATTCTCTAATATACTGTATGTCTCTGTCTGTAGGGTATTTAGGATCTATTCCTCCCTTTCCTCAGATAAAGAGCTAAAAACAGAGGGTTTCAGTCTGGAGAGCTGCAGAAGTATGATTGCACTCATGGATGTATCCTTCATTAGGTTTGCAGTGCATTATGGGCAAATAATGTGTGCATAAATATGCACCTTGTGTAAAGGTACCGTTGCTCAGTGAGAAATTTCGCAGGTGAAATCCAGTCAGTCTATCGTGATCGTGAGTTTGCCAAAAACTTTCCCCATGCAGATTGTCACTCATGTTCAGACTGGCACTGCAAAAAAAATCTGGTAAATTTACAGTAAAAAAAACTGGCATATGTGATTGCCAGAAATTTACCATACAAAATAAGGTAGCAACATTTTAGGTTTAACAGACTAACTTAAATTTACAGTAAAAAAACGTATTTCATTATCTGAAATAATGTTAATTTACTGACCTATTTAAGTACTAATATCTGTTTTGAACCATTGTAGTACACTGACAACCACCAATCACAGTGGTGATGTCACATGATGAATCAAAGCTCATCACAAGCTGCTTTTCCATTAGAAAGTTAATATTAATATATAGAAGCTGCACAGTGTCATTGCAATAAACATTAATTGAACAACATTAAGTGTAACATAAAACCCTAATGTACATAACTGATTAGAAAAAACTATGAAGAAACTTAATGTTCAACAAAAATACATAAAATGTGAAGTGACACCCATGGATTTGTGGGAATGTCAATTTACGTTTTTTTTACTGTAAATTATACAATGACTTGTTCTTTTTCACTTCCAAAAACGGTAAATTTAACAGTATTTTAAATGTACTGTTAGATCTATCAGTTATTCACTGTATGTAGTACGGAAACTTTGTTAAAACCAATTAACAGTTTTTCATCGTAGCATTTTTACTATGGTCTTTTACCGTTAAAATAAAAGACAGCTAACAGCTAGCTCACTCTTTTTCATTCACTCCATTAAGTGAACTATATTAGTGGAACTATATTAGTAGGAAATAGTCAATAAGGATACGGGGGCTGATTTTACATACAACCAACTTAATAATAGACCTTAGTTAGGGTTGCGCATTTTTGACAGGAATGAAAACGAGGCTCTGAGGGATTGAACTACAGTGTGTTCTATGGATTTGTACTGTAGTTTAACAACATGCCAGCTGACAAAACATCTTTTTAAAGGAGATTTTAGTAGAAAAAAACTCCAATGGAGTATTTTGAATGGTGCAGGTATGACATCACTTTGTACGCCAAAACGAGTTAGCATTTTAGCACCTCCGGTTCCATCGTCCAGAAGTCGATGGATTTTTTTAATGTGATTTTGGTTAAATGGCTAAAATAAGGTCTACGGTGAACACAAGCTCAAGACACTTTGTTTTATTCCACAACACAAAATACATCAGTATTACACCATTCGTGATTTTTACGTGTTACGTGTCTTGAAAAGGCAGTTGCTAACAAGGCTAAATGAGGCTGTCGATGAGATTAAACGTCATCACACCAAACAGGTAAACTCCGTTCGCTTTTACAGCCTCATTATGCTTATAATTGTGCTATTATAACTCAAACTTTCAGTGAAAATGTTTTTAGATAAAAACTGAAAGAGTTAGTGGAAGCTTAGTGATGGTGACGTTGAAGTCCTGGGACCGTGGTGTAGTTCGCTTTTTACTTCTGGCAACTGCATTTAGACTTCAAAATTCATAAAAGTTGTGTTCATCTGTGAAAATTCTCTTGATGGACAAAACGTGTAAGTGTCAAACTTTTGTTGATCACAGAGCTTGTTTTTGTGATAATCCAAAAGCCTGTAGAAAAATCCTATTGGGTTTTTGTCCAGGCAACCAGTGTGATGCTAACTGCCGGTTGGTCATAACTGCACCACGCTATGGTGCCCCCTTGTGGTCTGGACTTGTCCCAAATAGTTGTTATTTCAAGTTCAAAATTTGTCACATGCAAAATGGCACAAAGGTTTTGAAAATGTCATCTTAACCACAACACCTTAGACTGATGGAACAGGCCACCTAAACCTGCAAGAGTTCAAACACTTATGGAATAAAATTAAACAGTGGAAGGTATGCAATATTTTCACCTTTATAAAGCATGTCAAATCATGTTCTTTTGTACTACACTGTATTACAACATATGTTAAAGCCAGACATGCTGTTTCTCTCTACACTATTTTCAGCTGGTGTTCACACGTTTCGACACAGACAAATCCAGTACAATCAGCAGTTTTGAGATGAGGAACGCTCTTACTGAAGCAGGTTGGGCAGTCAGTTGTCTTTTTTAACTTCTCATTTAATGATATAAAAAATGTATAGGTTAATATGATATTAAGATAAGATATTTCACTGTACCTCAGGTTTTCAACTCAACAATCAGCTGTATGACATTATTTGCATGCGATATGCCAACGAACACATGGAGCTGGATTTCGACAGCTACATTAGCTGTTTAGTGCGACTCGAGGCAATGTTCAGTAAGTGTACATGTGATGATTTTTTTCTATTATTTTTCTAAAGTACCTTGAAGTTCGTACAGACATTGCCACCAGGATTTTAAGGTGCAGCTATTGGATAGTTGTTGTAAAAATGACTCTCCTACAGGGACATTTAGAGCCTTTGACAAGGATGGAGATGGTCTTATCAAGCTCAATGTTTTTGAGGTGAGCTTAGTCTGTATATTGAATATTATATTCAAGGATTAAGACAGGAGAATTTTAATCATATTTGCACTGCTATGGTTCACTCTGACGAGTTCCTGTTTTCTATATTATATACACAGTGGCTTCAACTGACCATGTATGCCTAAAGACACAAACACAGATACAGAAGGCGACCTGGTGACACTTTCAACCTCCATTAAGTGGAACATTACAGAAAGATCTGCATTCGTATCAATTATACTGTACACCATTGTGGCTTTTTTCTTCAGCCAGTGCTGGTCTAGAACAAACTGGATTAATCATAAAAGCCCATTTAGATCTTGTTAAACAATTACTTAGTAGACTATCCCTTTCAGAGGACATTTTGTTGTCATTCAGCAAAATGTTGTCATATTAAATGTACCATAGATTACACACATTTGAACCCACCCTTGTAAAATGTGTGTGCTACTGTGCAACTGTAAATAATTCAACTAAATAAAGTACTTTGCACTGTTTTAATCCACTTGTTGTCGTAGCCATGATTTGCAGAGAATAAACAAACAGCACAAAATAGTACAACTATTGTGCGTTCATGACTGCAGACAACGGATAAACACATGGTTAACCTTGAGGATGAACAAACTTCTGCTGGAGTAGCAAGAACACGGATGATAAAAACAACAAAATATTTTCAACATTTTAAAATATTATTCAGATTCCTGTAAGTAAAATAACTACAACCCTTCCAGAGTGAGTCTGAATGAATATCCTAATATGTTGTCTTGTAAGCAATATTATTTGAACTGATAAATCCATATTACTACACTATTTATTGTATTAGGCAGTGAATGTCCATATTCTGCTGATGCTATTATGAAAATCTTTTAATATACCTGAATCTTCAGATCGTAGTCTGTGACATCTCCTTTCATGTCCTTGTAGCTTGACAAAGTGCCTCACACAATCTTGACTAAAAAGAAATTATTGATTTTTCAAAATTGTAGGTTACCTTTTTTATGCAATTTTACATTTCAAGATAGAAATTACATTTTTATCATGCCAGAATCAGATTTTAAAAAACGATTGCTTTTTTCTTTAGAAATAATCCGCACCGATCTGATCAAGTTAGAGCATAATCCAATGTGAACTGCAATAAAACAATTATAAAACTGCATTAAAGTCTGTTACAATGATGCAGTCTGTGCTCTCAGATGAGATACATGCTCACAGAGGTCATTTGTGTTCACTGAGAGTTAGGTCCAGAATCAGATAAACCTGGGAGTGAGTCCTATGGTGCAGCTGCTCCGTGAGGCTCCCTGGGATGGCTAGGGGAGGGATCCTTCCTCAGAGGTTCACACAGCTGTCAGGAGGCATTTAGCCCCACCTGCTGGTCTGAATGAGTGGGATCTGACAAAACATCATAAACAATCATTACATGTAATATATTACATATTAATCTCATATTTGAAACAAAAAAAAACTACATTTCTTAAGCAGGAATAGTTAGTTAGTCCATGAGTTGAACTGATAAAAATATATGAGATGATAAAGGAGCTCTTACTCTTCATATCCTGCAGAATCTTTATGCGCTTCGTCCTGAGCGAGGCCATCTCTGAGGTTACCTGACAACAGAAGAATTGATATTGTGTGTGTATATATTATACACATACAAGGATTTTGGCTGTTTATTATTACTTATAAATATATTTTAATGCATTATTCTGCTTGACTATATTCTACATCCCTTAATCCTACCCAATACTTAAATTTAACAACTACCTTACAAATTATTAATGCGCAGTAATTAGGAGATTATTGAGGTTAATAGTGAGAATTGGACCTTAATCTAAAAAAAAAAAACACATATAAATATATAGAATTGGTATTGTGCCAATTACAGTATAATTAAATATTAAATTGCAATAAATATTGCAGTATTTATTATAAATGATTTATCCACGCACATCAATTTTAAAAATGCATGTTCCCTCGTAATCTTTAATCAAAATAACTTCCCTTCCTCTTGCAACTACGTTTCATCTCTTCTCTTTTCTGATGAAGTGTTTACGGCGTGAGGGCGGGACAACCTGTCACTCACATGAGATCACAGCAATGGAAAACCACAAATAATCCAATCAATTCCTAATGGACAAAATCAAATCCCATCCTTCATTTTTTCTTTATTCCAGAAGCCATTTCTCTCAGATATACGTCACAACAGGGAAGAAAAGACTATCACAGCTTCCTTTTTGTGCAGACTTAATCTAAAAAGAAATTGTAGACTTCTAAAATATTAAAGGGAGAAAACTAAAGAGTTTTTTTTTTTTTTTTTACCTTTATTTAACCAGGGAAATAATCACATTGAGATAAATATCTCATTTACAAGTGAGCCCTGGCCAAGGTAGCAGCACACGATATACATAACTACATAAAACAAATTACACAACACACACATATACAACAATAAAATGACAGTAAAACAAAATTAAACGTTAAGAGCAAGTGCAGACAGATTTGAATAATTTGTAAATGTAACTTAAACTTATTTATTGAAATAAGTACTTCAAGTTTCAATGAACTTTGGATCTCATTCCAAGCAGCTGATGCGCTATAAATAAAAGGGTATAAACGTAGATTATACCCTTGACTATTAAAAGTTATTAAGCTATTCATGTATTGAGGAAGCTGGCCGACTAATGCCTTGTATACAAGTATGAGCCAGTGTTTGTACCTTCTTATGTGAAGTGAAGGCCAACCTACCATTTCATACAGTGCACAGTGATGAGTGTGATATTTTGTGCAAGTTATAAATCTTAGAGCAGAGTGATAAACAGAATCTACTGATTGTAAGAGAGCTTTAGTGGTATTTCTGTAAAAAACATCTCCATAATCTAAGATAGGTAAGAAGGTAGATTCCACCAACTTTCTCTTGGCTGACTGTGAGAAACATGCACTATTCCGAAAATAAAACCCCAGCTGTAACCTTAACTTAGACAGCAGTTGTTTAACATGTAACTTGAATGATAAGTCCTCTTCCAGCACAAACCCTAGATATTTGTAAGAGGAGACCAGTTCTATAGAGTTACCCTGCAAAGTGTAAATAGGCGGTGGAGAAGAATCAGTCTTATGTTTCCTAGAAAAGACCATGTATTTTGTTTTCTTATCATTTAGGACTAATTTTAAAGAAAAAAGGTTACGCTGAACTAGTTCAAATGCTTTCTGCAACTTTAAAATGCAGTTTTCAATAGAAGCTTGCGATGGTGATTAATGGAGCAGCCACGTACCTGTTGTTTAACAGCTAGTAGACGCTGAACTTCTGTGTAAGCGCTCTGCATGGTAGAGTACGCCAGGAACAACTCGTCACCTACATCCTCCAAAGAGCTAGTCAACTTATCTTCTTTCGAAGACAGCGTCAACAACTTCTTCACTTTCCCTAAGAATCATATACACACAGATAAACTTTATGATATGTACAAGTATATTACTGGTCAATTAGATTATGATGGTAGAGAGACATTATTGAGGTTTTGAGGTTTAACATCTGGCAAATAACTCATGACTAAATTGTAAAAGGACATTTGACCTAATAAAAAAAATCAACACTCAAATTTGCATTTCCTTGCATTAATAATAATAAAATAAAATAAATAATATCAAATATATATATTTTTTTATTAAGAATCAATTTAAACAACAAATGCTAATCAAAGCTACAATAAAATTTAATACTCACTTTTTCTAGATGTTTTGTCATTTGTCTTGGGATTCAGATTGTTATGTGAAATGTCCTTTAAAAAAATACATACATAAATATTAACAAGCATTTCTATAGATTTCTTGTTACAACTTCACTCAAACTCTCATACTTGTTTTTTTTTCTTGTTTTTCTGGACGTTGCAGGAGTTGGTTTCAAAGCTGTTCACCAGTGATGTTTCTCCCTGTTCTGTGTCACACGCATTTGATTTCTTTTTCTTAACATGCACAGTCTGAGGCCGAACGTTTTCAACAACCTCTACTGCCTGGCAGTCATTTCCTGAAGTCTGGCTTTCAAACATTTCATTCAGTGAAGTTCCAGATGGAAGAGAATCAACGTGTGGCTCTTGCCCATTCATACCTTCTCTAAGAAAAAAAGAGATATTAAGGAGATCACAGTTTAAATGTCAGAGACAACAGATCTTCATCTAAGAATCTGAAGGCTTTTAAGTCAGAAACATGCTTGTGGATCCAATTTTATGAAACATATGTGATTTTTAAAAATGTTAACACTAAAGAGAATATGAAAGAATGAGTCTCAAAGGGGAAGCAAAAAGTAAAAAGCATGATTTATTCACCTGGTTGTGCCCTGTTTATTACTCTGTGATTCTGCTTTGTTAACTTTCCTCATAGACTTTTTGGAACGACTGCGTTTTTGTAGTGGAGGTTTGGGAATGACAGCTTCATTCTTGGTCGTTGCCTTCTGTGCTGAACAAGTTCCTTTCGTTGCTGTCAAGTTGGGTTTGTTGGCCTCCATCCTGCTTTGGACCAGTCCGGGCGCACATGTAGGCCCAGCAGATGTACCATCTTCAATTTCTGGAGTCGGTGTGCCATGAGCAGACATTTCTTGAGGAAGATTATCTGATGGGTTCTCAAGACGAGGCTTTTTCACAAGTGGCCCGTTTGATCTGTCCATATCAAGTATGCTCTCCTGTCTCTGTTTAGGCAGGTTTTGGTTAAGCTGGAAAGATGCTGGGAGGTCATTTTGATTTTCCCAAGAGACGAAGAGACGGCATGATTGCGGCAACTGGCCATTTGTGAACTCCTCATTGTCTATGACAGGTATTGTTGAATGCCCAATTTCACTTGTGTTTTCTTTCGATTTTAACAACTGTGCCCTCTTCAATTTTGCTTGTTTCCACTTCTTTGTTTTCTCTCTCTTTTTCTCTTGCCTTACACAAAAGAAAACAAGTAAGAATAAAGAAACAAGTACAATAAAGAAAACTGATTGTCAAGGGACCATTCACATAGAACACGTTCTTGTGTTTAAAATAAAATAGATTTTTCTTATTTGTACACACAGGAGAACTTATCATGAAACAATTCACAACATATGAATCACACACATGAATAAGTTCTTAACCTTGACAATGTTGAGCATATGCTCGGATAGTAATTGAGAAAGTAGAAAAATTGTAACAAAAGCTGCAAGGTGGGATGCAAAACACTTGTGCCTTAGGACTATTGATACAAACATTTTTTTTAAAGGTCATTCAGTAATGTTCCACACTGTTCAGTCACTCAACCATCATTCATTCAAAACACACACAATTACACACATAACGTATGAGCTGGCAAGCTTACATTTGTTGATCTCTTTGGTAACAAAAGGCTCTAAGCTCATCATCAATTTCAGCACTGTAGTCCACTGTTTTTCCATCTGCTGTAATCTTTTGGAGTTCAAACAACATGTATTTGTGATAAAGAGTGCGAATATGCACCTTAAACTGTGCCATTCCTGTTTTAGTCATGTCACAGGCCCAACACTTATGAACCTGTGGACTGTAGGAAGAAGAGCATACATTTATTTTCACTTTTTATTATTAATAGTTTAATATTAAAATTCTTTCATAATACAGAACAACTAATGTCACACTGGTTTGAAACAACATGTGCATGAGTAAGGGGCCGTTCACACAGAACACATTTTTCCATTCCACTGCGCTACTTTTCCATCTATATAAAAACACACGCTAGGGTAGACAGACGTGTTTGACCGTTGCGCTCACGTCTTTGGCGTTCTAAAAACACGATGCTCAAGTTTAAAATAAGTTATGACCGTATGATTTCCCCCCATTCCACTGTCCGCGTCATGCGTTTTTTCAAAGCAATAACGCGTTTTGTGTGAACCAGCCCTAAAAGATGTATCAATCAATGTATTTTAGTCCCATACCTGCCCTTCAGTTCCTCAATTGCCTGATGGTGGACAATACTGTGCATATGTGCATCCAAATCCTGTGACAGCAAAGATCAAGGTAATTATAAAAAGAACAGATCTAAGACATACATCCTAAGCCATAATGTGCTTACAGCATAAAAATAACCATAAAACATTCAATTTGGGAATGAAAAGGCCAATGAGTTAAATCATCAGACAAAAACACAGTCCTGTCATTACATCTAAATATTTACTTTCTTATAGATTTTTTTCTTTGTTATGTCTTTAATTCAATGAAAAATGTTAAAGCTGGTTATTTTAGCCTTTATCTATAAGGTTGTCACTCTCAAAGGAAATACAGGGCATTAAAAAAAAGTTACAGAAAGTTGCTAACCTGTATAGGGAAAATCTGACAGCAGACAAAACAAGTCTCCGTACATTTTTGTATCTTCCTAAATGGATGAAAATAACTTTTACATCTTTGATCCATATTAATATTTATATTGAAAAAATAACAGGCCAATTTATTTTAAAAGGCAATTTATCAACCATTTTTTAAATCATAAACTTGTATTATACAGTTGAATGTATATGAGGTAAACTTACTTTTTTCGCTCTATTTGAAGGGCTAAAAACTCCTCATCAGTCAGGTCTATATGGTAGTTCATATATTTTTGTTCTTTTCTTCTTCTGTTGTGAAGTTTGTACAGACTGTATGTGTGTTTGCGGGTGGCAATATGCTCCTTGTACAGCTCTAGTCCCAGCACAGACACATCACATGCCAAACACTTATGCAACTGTTCACTGTAATATCAAAAGTGCATTATTATTATTATTATTTTTATACCTGAGAAGGACTTTATAATCAGTTCTCTGTAATTCCATACCTGCCCTTGAGATGCTCAACTGCCTCATGGTGGACATAAGAATGCATATGAGTGTCCAAATTCTGTAAAAAAGGAAGTGATAGTTATCTTACCCAATCTTTTACTAATAAGGCCAAATAAGTGACATTTTAAATATCGAACGCCATTTGTCCATCAAATTGCTTTTTACATGACATTTAATTGGGAGAACAATTCATATTGATTTTGTGAGAGAGAAATTGAAACAGTAGAAAATATATTCTTGTATATGAATTTTGGCTTTCATTTCAAAGTTGGATACAATCTAAAAATATATCGCTACACCCTTTGAATGTGATCTCAATTAAAGTTGGAATATAATGTACTAATGTATAATGTATAATGTATAATGGATGATAAGTACTTATAATTTTTGATAAATAACCTTATTGTTTTAGGTAAACACTTTATCCACAAATATTTAAAGATTAAACCCCATTTTCAACAGATGGAAGATTTATTTTAAGCTATTTGCAAAATCTCATGACTGGATGACGGACAGAAATGCCCTGAAAACGTCTTACAGCTTTTTCTGTCACTAGATTAAGATTTCGCTTTTCTTTTTGTGTGTTTTGTGTTTCTAAATTCTGTATACATAAAAACATATGTTTATATGAATGATTGTTGAAGTATGCCTTAAAGGGGTCATATAATGGTACATGCACTTTTACAAGTTGATTGTACTGAAATGTGTGTTGGCAGTGTCTGTACACAACCATCATAAAATGATAAAAATCCATCTAGTGTTTTTGTTTTAATCTCCTTATATGTTTTCCCATGCCTCAAATTGAGCTGTTCGATTTTGTGACGTCACACGCTCGGAAGCCCCTCCCACGATTGTTGATTGACAGCATCGTTTCAACACAGACCCGCCCTCGCTCGTGAGCGAGCTGTCAATCATAGTCTGCGCGGACCGGCGGGGTCATTATTGATATGCTGGAGCACTGTCTATGAGCAGAATGGCGTCTAAGCGATTGGTGTTCTGTTCTTGGGTGCAATAAGGAACACAGCAGTCATTTTAATGTTCCTGAATCCGAACCGCTGAAGACGCAGTGGCTGAGTTTGTTTTCGAAGGGAATATTCCCCACAAGCAACGTCAATGCTTTCATGTTTGCGCGAATCATTTCTCAGCAGACTGCTTTATAAACGAGGGTCAGTATGAGCTGGTTTTGCTAAGAAGCTGCTCATGAAAAAAGGATCGGTACCAGCTATTCGTGTTCCTGCTGAACCTCTAGAACAACTGAAGTGAGTGTAAAGTTTTATTAAACTTTATATTAATATTTATATTAATCTTTGCAAATCGCTAGCTGCACGCTTCACAATGAATGCGTCTAAGGTTTACACTTAGGGTACATTAAGGCATGTTTTCTATGTATGATGTTCTCAATATAATTCATAATCCCACGTTTATACTGAACAACGCATTATGGTTATTGTGTTACTGTGTTACAAACGATGTACGCACAGAACAGAGAGGCGGGGTGAGCAAAGCTCATTATCATTTAAAGTCATATAAACTGAAACGGCGTGCTGAAAACAGAGCTGTTTTTGACCAAGTAAAATAAGTGTTTTCTTACAATACTAATGAGAATTTTTAATTAAAGTATATTACAAACTTTTAATTTAGACCCTAAATAATCATACTAGCTTGTACAAAAATGGCATTATATGACCCCTTTAAATGTTTGTGCTTCAATGTTTATAAATTTAAAAGAAATATTTTCTCTTCCTTGAAAACGGACAAAAATATTGATGACTCATTCTGCACGCACTCATTTTGTCCAATCAAATACTTTTCAGGAAGAGAGTCCCAACGAACTATCATGTAGCAAACACATAACTATCGGCTTTTTTTTTCATCTTGACATCTCCCGCCCCAAAATAAATAAATAAACATAGAAAATAAGTCAACAGAAAACTTAAGATTTCTTGAAGCCTGTGGCATATGTGATTAAATGTCAATAGCAATGTTTAAATTACATTTAAAAAAACAACAAATCACAATAATACATAAAGCATCAAATAAAATCAACTATTTTATTTGTGAAATTATGAAACTGTAAACAAACGAACAGACAAACCTTATCTCCGTACTGTTCGCCACAGATCAAACATTTCGTGTATATGAAGGTTTGGGGTTTCCCGGACCTTTTCCCCTTCTTTCTGGATTTCATGGCTGCCTGTTATTTACTGTAGTAAACAAAAAAAAAAACGTAAATATTTACTGTAGTATACGAAAAAAAACGCAAAGCAAAATGTTTTTAGGCGGAGTTAGAACATTTAAATCATTCTAGACATTCAGAGCAGTTAGCTGGAAGACTCTTGTCGTGAATGGTAACGTTGTGTTATGATAGAGATTACGTACCAATTATAGCCTATATTAATCTACCCAAAACACATTTTTTAGTAGTTGTTGTCAGTATGCTGCGTTATCCATCCACGACCATGTTGACTGTAAAACATTGTTGCCAGATATCGCAAAACAAACAAGCAGTTAAAACGAGCCTAGGCGACTTTCCTAAACAAAATTAGCAATCACCTGTTTTTGAGATTTGATGGACTGTCTATATGAATGAAATAGGACTAAAAAACACAACTCGCTAATTTTTACTTTATAAATTTATCGGTGCCTAGATATTTCACTTGTCATGATGGCCACACTGATGTAAGGATTTACAGTCTGAACAAACAGGGTGCTCCCCCTAGTGTAGTGGTTCTCAAACTAGTAAATTATTGTCTTATTATTAAACTGTTCTAAAGTCAAGTCTGCTCAAAAAAATTATAATTCCTACTGCAAAACAATTAACTGACACATAGCAGAAAATTAGGCAAAGTCAGATGCTGTAGGGTTTCGAATATTGACCTATACAATGGTGATGTGGGGCTTTGGAGAAACAATTTGAGGACCAATGTCTGGATGTATCTAATGTTTATTGCATTCAATTGTCAACAAACTTTATTACTAGCATACTGCACACACAACACGCACAAAATGTATACAATTCAATGTTTGTTTACAAATAAATCTGTACAGTCACGGATTTTTATATATATACAGGTCATGGAAACGTCACATTTTTAAACGAAAAAGACAACAATCCTTTCTTTCAATCGCAGATATGATGAACGCATGAACGCACCGCTGGGGGCGCTATACTCACCAATCCTACAGAGAATACACAGAAGAAGACGAACACGGAAGCGTCTCGGTGCTTTGCATGGTGCTTTGATCTCTTTTACTGTCTATGTTTGATCTGTGCTATTAGTTTTCTTAACTGACTGATCCGAAATGTGTACTGGATGTATGCAGAAACAATATCCCGACAGGGTGAGTTTATGATAATTGTGAATGGCACACCTCGCGCGAATCCTGCTGCTATATGTTCCTTTGATGCCATTAAAGTTCAAAGAGGCAGATGCAGCGCGGGTTGTTGGTTTCCAGTCAAAGATGAGCATCACTGCACTTATGTTTCCTGAAAAGTTTTGTGCTTAGTAGATAGCCAAACTATCTACTAGCATTAGGCATTTAGCTTTTCCCATTAATTCTTGAGACTTAATATTTAATAGCACTATTTAATAGTTTAACTTGTTTTGTTTATTTGTGCACTGGGTTCAAGCGGGCATGATTTATTTATTTACATTTATTGACAGTGTTAGTCTCTTAATATTTTTGCTAGAAACTGTATTTCAGGTGTTTACTTAATCTGTTATGTGCAATAGGGTAATACCTGTCTCGAGAATGGTTCATATCTCATGAATTTTCTCGGATGCGCCAACTGTCACCAGCGGGACTTTGTGCTGATCAGTGACAGGACGATCGTGAATGAAGATGAGGAGGAGATTGTCACTTACCTGCGTGAGTCACGTGACGTCACATCATTACATGAACATATTCCCCAGAGCCATAGAGAGAGAGAGTTGCGAGTCTTGCGACCATAGACAGTATAAGAAAGGGGTTCCACCGCCATAGGAACTTTGGAATGCGGAAGTAACGCGTGTCGTGGAGCAGCCAATAGTTCCAAACACTGATAGTTTCTCCATTGAACCCCATTCATTTTCAGTGCTTCAGAAGTACGTTCGCTGGTAAATTAATGAAATTACTGTATTTTTTTACTTTTACACACATTAGCCGACCTCTCGTGAATCTAGTCTGTAGTTATATTTAATGTAGCCAGTTTTAGTAAATGTTTATTGGAAGATAATAGGTTAATTGCAGCGATAGCTTACGTGACCAACACTTCACTAACGTTAGCTAACTGGTAACCTGATGTATATAATATATAATATTTTTAATAATATTTTATATGTATATATATATATATAACCTATATATAATATTATATACACACACACACAATTCATTTATTTAAATGGGTTAGGGAGGGTTATGCATGTGCTTATATGTATTTAGGAACATAGTTAATTCACTCATTAACTATCTCTCCGGTTTAATTTTATGAAGAATATTTTTCGGTTGAATATTTACCGAACATTGCTGTATAGTCGTTGCTTTCTACGTTATGGGAGCAGTCTATTTCCCTCCTAAATCATTCATTTGTACATGCACAGCGTTTATATTTTGTGTTGGTTGGAATTCTGAACGGACTGCAGACCTCTTTGCGTGATCACGAAGGTAGGCTAATGGCTGAATCGGAATTTATAAGCAAGATCACGGGAATCAATAGCCTAATACAGCCCAGTTGTGCTAAAATAAATATCATGAGACGTCCATCATCAGATGAATGACATGGAAAAGTTAAGTTAGAGCCGCTAAAGCCAGTGCTAACGTACTACCCATGCGAACATGAACACTATGCTTTTCCCTCCAAAAAAATAGCCTAAAACTTATCTAAGTTGTCACCCTGCCTCTCCAAATGCAAAACTGACATTAACAAAATGCAATAACAGCTTAAAAAGTACTTGGGTGTGTGTTTTATTTTATATTTACCGTTTAATAATCCAATCGCTGCTGTCTGTCCATAGAAGAACATGACAGCCCGCGTATGTTTTGGAACTAATGGGGCTTACATGAACCACGTGACAGCCGTCGCGGCGACATCAAAGCGTGTCGCAACTCTTTCTCTCTATGGCTCTGATATTCCCTAAATGTCTCAGACTGACGTCATCAGTATTTGCTTTTCCTCAGATATGTGCAAGAACTGTGATCATGTCATAGCCAGACATGAGTACACCTTCACTGTGGTGGATGACTATCAGGTGAGCCGTGTTTCTAAATGTTTAGAAATAAGATGCTAGGAGTTTATTAGAGATAGTTGTACAATTATAAACAGACCAATACGGTTTAATCACACACACTCTCTCTCACACACACACACACACACACATATATATGTATATAATATACAGCTATATATATTCCATCTGACTTCCCAATATTTCAGCTCAAATCGTCACCTGCTGCTGACGTCGCAGTCTTGTTGGAACGTGGTGGCCACTCACCAACCATCCCGAAATCCTTCCATCTAGATCCAATATGATCAAAGATGGCTGTAAAAATAAATCTGTATTGTTTATCCTTTTGATCTTTCATAAAATAAAATAAAAATCACAAAAATCTAACATTTCATTTAAGTAAAAGTTTTGAAAGTGGGATGAAACTCACATTATGAAATACATGTTTTTCTCCATAACACGTTGGCCACAATTATTGGCACCTCTAGAATTTTTTATGAGTAAAATATCTCGGAAGTTTATTCCTGTCAATATTTAAAAAAATTAGCACACCAGGGTGACTAGAAACATGAAATTGTCTAGCTATGACTTCTTGTTTAATCCCCTTTTCTCAATATGTAAAATAAGTCTCTGATGTCCCCAGACTGTGTATGTGAATTTTTAGCTCAAAATACCCCACAGATATTTTTATATAGCATCTTAAAATTGTCACTTTTTGAGGGAAAGCAAAAATGCACCGTTTTTTTGTCTGTCCCTTTAAATGGAAATGAGCTGCTGCTCCCAGCACAGAGGGCAGAGCTTCAACAGCTTGTGTCCTGAAAATTTCAAAAACTTTTAGCCTAATTTATGTTCAAACCGGAGTCAGACAAAGATGGAGAGACTCAAGAAGAAGTGACAACATGTAGACAACTTTTCTAAATGGTTATTTGATGAATTTATGAAGCTTATGTGTATTTATCTTATCTTATACTGGCTACTAAAAGTTCAATAAGAAGTATACCCCTAGAGTCTGCGAGAGCAGGGGCGGAAGAAGACTCACAGACTGACCTCCCGGTAATGACCCTTGCAATGAACATGACTTGAATGGAAAATGTAGCAAGACTCTTGAGAAACCAGCAGTTGGACATGTTCTTCAGATTTGCGTGTGTGGATGGGCGAAAGTAACATTAACCCATGGTCTTAAGGTACATCAAGGACGGAAGAAATGCCTGAAAACCACCAACCCAGGGCCCCGCATTGACCAGATTCTGTCAAGAAGAAGGTTAAATCAGTCGGGTGAGAATCAGCGGCAGGAAGAACCCCACAGTCCGCAGAGAATCAGCACCCCAGGGAATGAGTAGGAAGCTTCAGGCAGAACCACCAGTCCAAGACAACAACCAGCCCACCGCAAAAAAGAAAACATGCAAGGACGTAAGCCGTTGGTGAAATGGCCAAAATCTAACAGCAAGGAGCGGGAAACCATCAACGCAGACTTAAGCCTTATCCTAAATAACATCAAAGGGTCAGCCGAGAAAAAGCTGGAGAAGATGGGCGACCTTATTTACAGCTACGGAGAGGAGAAATGTGGAGTAAAGGAACAAGTCAAAAAGAAACGCATGCTTCCCACCCCCAAGTCCCGTCGGCTGCAAGAAATCCAACAACTTGTAAAAGAGAGGCGACGGCTAAGAAAGTTGTGGAGAAAGGCGACAGTGGAAGAAAGGGAAGGCATCAACGTACTTCAAGAGGACCTAAAGCACAGGCTCTCAAAACTCCGCCGAGCAGAAAGCTTACGGATGCGCCGGAACAAGAAAGAAAAAGCCAGAACTGATTTCTATAAAGACCCATTTAAATTTGTGAAAGGCATATTCACAAAGGAGAAGAGTGGATCCCTGAAAATATCAAAAGACCAGGTTGAAGAGCATCTGAGAACCATCTATACAGATGGGAAAAAAGATGAACCAATTGTTGTCCCCACTGACATCCCTCCAATATCATCACCACAACATCAGTTTGATATCAGCCCTCCCAAGCTGAGCGAGGTGAAGCAGGCAGTGAAAAAGGCAAGAACGGCATCTGCACCAGGCCCTAACGCCGTACCGTATAGTGTCTATAAGAACGCTCCAGATGTTTTAAAAATTCTGTGGAAGAACATGAAGGTGGCGTGGGTCAAGCAAATTATTCCGAAAGCCTGGCGAAGAGCGGGAGGGGTGTTTATCCCAAAAGAAAAGAATTCGACCACCATTGAACAGTTCCGCCAGATAAACCTGCTGAACATTGAAGGCAAGATCTTTTTCAGTGTATTGGCACAACGACTGACACAGTATTTAAAACAAAACCACTTCATTGACACGTCAATTCAAAAGGCTGGCATCGCAGGCTTTTCAGGATGCCTGGAACATAACAGCATTATATGGCATCAAATCTAGACTGCAAAGAAAGAAGGGAAAGATTTTCACGTCTTGTTCCTTGATCTGGCCAATGCCTATGGTTCAGTTCCTCATCCAGTTCTGTGGGCTGCCTTTGATTTCTTCCAGGTTCTGACTACAATCACAAATCTAGTGAAACACTACTTCCAGGATCTACAGTTTTGCCTTACAACGTCAGACTTCACCACAAATTGGCAACTGTTGGAAGTAGGTATCATGGCGGGATGTACCATCTCCCCATTGGCCTTCACGATGGCAATGGAGATCATTATTAGAGCCTCGAAATGGGTCGTGGGAGGAGAACGACTACAAAGTAATCAGAGGTTACCACCAATTCGGGCCTATATGGACGATCCAACAACACTCACAACAACTGTCCCCTGCACCAAAAGATTGCTGGAGAAACTTCATCAAAATATTACATGGGCGAGGATGAAGTTAAAGCCCAATAAGTGCAGAAGCATCTCCATCATGAAAGGCCAAGTTACAGATCAAAGATTTCATGTTGGAATTCCACGTTGTTTAAGTTCTGTTGGACTTTATGGACATGGCAAGTTGGAATTACCAATCACAAGGCTCGTTGAAGAGTTCAAATGCACCAAAGCAAGGCTTGTCATGACCTTATCTGAATCTGAGGATGCAGTCATTCGAACAGCAGCCCCCCGGGTGGTAGCAGGAAGAAAATGGACTCCATCAGAAGCTGTTCAGAGTGCAAAGTCTGCGCTTCATTTCAGAGATGTGGTTGGACAAGTACAGCATGGAAGGGCAGGGTTCGGACTCATCCCCAAAACTCCTCTGTGGCATAAAGCAACATCAGTGCAGAAGAGACAGCTAGTGGTAGAGGAGGTTAGGAGACAGGAGGATGGAGAACGACATGCCAAAGCCGTATCAATGGCCAAGCAAGGGAGATGGACCAACTGGGAGGGCCTGGAGAAAAAAAAGCTCAGCTGGCGTGACATCTGGCAAATGGAGGGAGCTCAGCTGAGTTTTGTCATCAGGGCCACATACGACCTGCTACCCTGCCCCCAAAATCTGAAAGTGTGGAATGGAGAAGATCCTGCCTGTTCCCTGTGTCAAGTACCTGCATCCCTAAGGCACATTCTATCGGGGTGTACTACAAGTCTCACACAAGGGCGCTATACTTGGCGGCATAACCAAGTACTCAGAGAACTGGCATCAATAATGGAACAGAAGCGAACCACCACAAACAATCTCCTACAAACATCGGCAGTACAGGTCAACTTAACAAATTTCGTACCAGCTGGCCAAAATCAGAAACAGAGTACAGCACCTAAGGATACAAGCTTCTTGCAGTCAGCGCGGGATTGGAAGTTGGAAGTGGACCTTGATAAGAAGCTTGTATTTCCCCCAGAAATATTGGCTACAACACGCCGACCAGACATGGTCCTGTGGTCTCCAACAACAAAACTAGTATATGTTGTGGAATTAACAGTACCATGGGAAGAGGGAGTTGAATAGGCTTATGAGAGGAAAAAGAATAAATATTCCGACCTAGCAGCTGAAGCATCCCAGAATGGCTGGAAGACCAGTATCTTCCCAGTAGAGGTAGGATGCAGGGGATTTGTTGATACATCTACCACCAGTTTGCTGAGAAAGATAGGGGTGAAGGGTCGCTGTCTCCAACAGGCCATCAAGTCCATCTCAAGTGCTGCCGAGAAAAGCAGTATCTGGCTCTGGATCAAGCGTAAGGACTCCAACTGGGCAGCAAGGTAGAGACAGATGGTATGCGGTCAGGCTTAGGCCCGACTCAGGGAGAAGGACGCCCCTGCCATGCAGAGCCCATCAGGGATATGGAGGGTATGGCATGGAGGGGGGTGTACCTGGGATGCTGGGTACACTGTTGAGCCTTATGGAGACGTTGTGGGCTTCAATCAACGAAACGTCGATGAAGCAGGGTGCCCACCTGATGACTCCAATGACATACCTTATCCTCCTTCTTCCCCACTCCAAACCGACCGATAAATCGCGTTCCCGGGGGCGGGGTTTATGTCATTTTTAGGGTTAGTGATGTCACTAACCCGGGAGGAATGTCGTGTAGTCCCTACCAGCCGTTTGTTGTAGTCCTTAAAATGCTATTTCTTTAAAAGAAAATGTCTCCCTTTGCTTTGAACTTTGAGCATTGTGACTTTGCAGATGTTGTTTATGTTGTTAACAGCAACAATACACACTAACTAAAGTTAGAAAAGTGAAATCATAATCAACCACCCCTTTAACAGGAGAAAAAATATGAGGAAACACAAAGGCCAAATTCCCTTAATCATCCATTACAAGGAGTAAAACTGAAACTTCAAAAGGGACTGGATTTATGGTCAGATGAAAAAAAAAAAAGAAGCTTTTTGGCAGCAACTCCACCAGAGCAAACAGGAATAAAAAGTACCCAATACCCACGGTTAAATATACTGGTGGATCTTTAATGTTGTGGGCCTATTTTTTTGCTGGAGGTCCTGGACATCTTGTTCAGATCCCTGGGATCATGGATTATAGAGTAAATACCAACAGATAAAAAAAAAATCGAAACCTGATGGCATCTGCTAGAAATCTTATAATGGGCCGTGGCTGGATCTTCCATCAGGACAACGACCTAAAACAAACATCAAAATCAACACAAAAATGTGTCACTGAGCACAAAATGAAGCGTCTGCCATGACCGTCCCACTCTCCAGACCTGAACCCTATAGAAAATGAGTGGGCTGAACTGAAGAGGAGAAGCACTGGGAATCTGAAGGATCTGGAGAGATTCTGTATGGAGGAATGGTCTCTGATCTCGTTATCTCGAACATAGAGATCAAACATAGACTGATCTCGAAACTCAGAGCTGTTATCTTGGCAAAAGGAGGTTGCAAAAAGTATTTAATAAAAGGGTGCCAATAATTATGGCCAACGTGTTTTGTAGAAAAGCATTTATTGCATAATGTGATTTACCCACCACTCTCAATTCTTTTGCTTCAATGTAAGGCCAATTTTTTGAATGAACGATTAAAAGGATAAACAAGTCGCTTATTACTATTGTAGTCTAATAATTATTTAGTTATTGTCTCAAAAAGCAGAAGTAACAATAGTTACTAATCTTTGCTGAATACCAGTTAAACATTAAAACAATAATTTTATTAAATCAGTCATGACGACAACATTGGCCCATCTCTTAAGATAAATTTGACAAATTCTGATAAAAAATGACAAAATATATAAATAAATAAAATTCTTCTGAGCCATACTTTTAAGTTTATGTAAATAGTACAGAACATGGATATTAAAATGTTGGACGAATTAATAGGATTTGCTTAGTTTGTTTAGGTTTTTAAAGGGGATTTTTATTTTATGATGTATTATTCTTTTTTTCAGGAGTACACAATGTTGTGTATGCTGTGTGGAAAAGCAGAGGATTCCATCAGTGTTCTGCCAGACGATCCCAGACAAACAGCTCCTCTGTTCTAGAGTATTTGCACGATGGAGGGAGCCATGAAATATGCAATGTAGACACACTGTCACGATTAATCCAATAGGATATATTGCAGAATGCATCGTGTTCTTTGTTTCTACTGCTTCAAGAGGTTCACAGTATGGTTCCGACTCATAAAGACATGAGTTTGAGAGTCATTTACAAATATTATACCTAATTATGAGCCATGGTTCCTTATGCTTGTGTTCATCATGTTTGATTTGCTCACTCTATGAAAAGGAAAGTGTGTATTGTTTCCCAATGTTAAAATGCTTCTATCCCATCTTAAGGCCAATTCACACAGCAACGACAGACGGCAACGTACACTTCATTGGGTTTTGTCGGAGCTTGTTGTTTCGCCGATTGAACATGCTGAATTGGAAGAATGTCGGAGAAGTGGCGTGCTGTAATCTGGTGACTGTGAATTGGGCTTTCATATGCAGTGTTGTTCTGTCGCCAATTAAATGAGTCTGCAGTGGGAATATCTGATTTGCAAGAAAGGTTAGGTTTAAGTGGATTTGCAAATGTTAATCGCAGACAGGATTTTTGTTACTATGCAACACTTACATAGAACATGATTGATTTAGTTAGATGAAATGTTTTAAATGGTACACACAAAATAAAAAATCAGATTCCTGCTTATTACTAATAAATACTTACATTTCAGTCTATATGATGTCATACTGTATTTCTAGTGTTAATACAACAAAATATTTTGTATGCTTTGTCTAAAACTATGAAACAATGCATTTCGTTTATTAAAATAATGACAGCATAATGTCATCACAAAATCAAGCATTTGGTACTTGAGTACTTATTTATTCCATTAATATGAATACATATACATTCCAACATGGTAACTTTTTTGCCTGATTGAAATTTGTTTGTTAGCAAAATACAGTACATGAAGCATGAGGTGGAATTTCTTTTTCTTAATATATTTATATCTATATACAGTTCAGATTATGTACAATTCGTATGATAATAGACCATCCTCCATTCCGCAGTTGTGGGCTTATACTGATGCTTTTAAAGTAAAAGTACTTTCCGAGGACAAAACAGACGATTCAGAACAGAACAACTATTCTAGATGCACAGCACAAAATGGAGTCGTGGTAATGACTCGGTAGTTACAATACCTTTCTTTGTACATCCGCAAGGGTCTCTCACTCTTAAGACAACTTTCAATAAATGCCATGACAGAGAATTCAATCCCAAAATCCACAGAAGCATCTTGGCATAAGCAGCCAATTTATCATACTGTTCTTGCTGATGTATTCAAGTAATATGGTAATGGGACTATAGTGTTTGAATCAAGAGTTCCTTTAAGGGTCTAGTGTTTCACTGCAATATATCGGCAAGTTTCTTACTGATGTTATAACTATTTACAGGGACTGTTAGTATGATATTGCAGGCATGGAAGAGATTATACTTGGCAATTGCAAGGTTGCTGACCCTTAATGTGATGGCGAATTCACCCAGTAGCAAGTAATAAAGCTACATTGTCAGGTACGTAACCACATACAATAAATAAATAAATACATTCTATAGATGATACAGTTTACAGTACATACATTCCCTGAAATACATATATACACATGCTTGCTTGGACCAGATGTATCTATACGTGAATGATATCACATTGTATAGATGGCTGTGGGTTGAAATGAGCATTTAAGATTAAACGCTTTGACCAATGATTAAAAAAACAAACAAACAAAAAAAGATAGAAAATGTAAGGTTAGAGTATCTGGAGTGCCAACAAAACTTGAAACATACTGTTTGACAGAATACAATGAGTTACTAAGTGCAGCCCCATTGTTTTCACATTTCAAACAATCTCACTGATAGTGGCAAATAGAAAGTGTTTAAAATCTGACATGTGCAACAACAAAAAAAAACATGAAAAAGGTGATTTAAATGTAACAAAAAAGTATATGGCACAAACTATATAGTGTAAAATAAATAAATAAAAATAATTGCGATGAAAAGCAATGGGCAAGTTTTTAGGACAAAGTTACACAGCGTCACTGGAAAGTTCAGCATGTTGATATTTCATGTTTTCCTAAAATGTCAAAAACATGATGCTTTCAAGTAGTCACAACCAACCGGCAAATATCCAGTCGTTTATCACTTTACTTATCAAAACATCACTTGTAAAAAGGCTACAGTTCACCAGGCTTCATCATGTGATGTTAAAAGCTACTTTTGAAACCGGTTGTCAAATTACTGACAACTCACGCCATCGATTACAAGCTTTTCACTTTATTTGCCCGTTTTGGTTGTGGTTTTGCTCTCAGGACTTCCTGCTCTGACTCTGGTGCAGAACCCTGACCCGTGATTTACTCTTAAGTCACTGATTCGAGGAGGCGGGGAGGCTGAGCAGCTACTTGGCGACTGGCTGTGACCCCCCTCGAAACGGGAAGGGGAGGAGCTTAGCGAGCGCTGCAGAGAGGAGGTGGTGGTGCGCTGGTAACGACTGGAGCTGACGCCCATCCCACCTCGCTCATGCATGAGCTGAGAGAGGTTGTCCAAGAGGTCCGTGTCACCGGTGCTGCTAGCGCGAATGCGGTAGCGTCTGCGTCTGAAAGGACAATAACATTAAATATCAGATTTCAGACTGATTCAAACTAATATTCGAGTCATTTGTTCAGGAATCAAACTGGACCATCACTTGGACTACATTGGTCACGCTGTATGTTTTTGATTATCTAAAAAGAACCAGCACATAATAGTTTTCATGGACTACACTGGTATCATTGCATGTGTGGTTTTTGCGTGCAGCCAATGAGGACAACTCAATACAGTGAAACAAGGAAGCTACTAACTTGCTACATTATAAAAAAAATACTAATTTTGAAATTCTTGCTTCTCTCACCTGTTCTCGCCACCTGTGCGAAGGGGCGGTTTGCCTGGTGGCGGCCGAGGAATAAATCGAGCAGACAGCTGATCCGGTCCTAGTGTGGGGCTTATGGGTCTTGGTATTTTACTCTTGCCTGACAGAGGTCCAGAAGAGGAAGACAGAGAGAGCGGCTCCTCCACCTGCCAGTCTGACCCTCGAGAACCGGTGGGAAAGGTGAACTTGTCACGCAGCAACGCTGAGGGGAAGTGCTCACATGACAGCGACAGAGATGGGGAAAGCGGAGCTGGAAAACCCCTGCGAGTCGGAGAGTCCGGGTCACGGACCGGGATGCGACTGGTTCGGGGGGAGAGTTCACGAGGTGATGCCGGGGCTGCATCAACACTGTGTGCAGTTGTCTCACCCTGGTTAGGGGTTGAAGGAGTCCCACCGTCAGGACAGCCCGAGTCACTCTCCACATCCTTGTCAGAGGCCTTGACAGAGATAATGTTTTCATCTGGCTTCTTAGGGCTTTTAGAGGGTGAAATAGCTGACACGTGGTCGTGCTCTTTTTCCGCAGGGCCTGATGGATTGTCAGGCTGAGAGTTGTCTCCTGTCTTCTGCTGAGGCTGAATGGGCTGTAGCACTGCACTGGATGACTGTGAAAAGAATAGCATTAAGAGACAAGACATTATTTATGGAGCCCTGCAGAGATAATACTCTTACAAATGTGCTTTTTTCTTAATGTACCATCCTTTGCTTGGCCAAAATATGAGCTCTGGTGAGATTTTCTGAGCTTGCTTCACTTTTGATCTGATGTTTTTGATATACAGTAATGGGTAAATCCAAGTTGCTGGCCAAAATCCGAGACGATGTTGCAGTGAAACTACTGCAATGCACCCATAAACTTTCACTACACACTGCTACAGTTTCCCTTACACAATGAAACATTATGGAAACGAATTGTCATTTCCTGTCTTTAATATTTAACATTACAGGTACACTATTGTTCGGGGGTTTAGGATTTTTGACAGTAAATACATTTATAATACTCCAAAAGATTTCTATTTTAAATCAATGCTGTTCTATAAAACTTTCTATTCATCAAAGAATCTTAAAAAAAAATGTTAATAAAAATATTAAGCAGCACAGATGATTTTTACAATGATAATAATTTCGTTAGCAAACATGTAACTATAATTGAGTTCTTTCCATTGATCAATTTCTTTCTTTCACATTTAAAAGATTTCATGAGGTTAACTTAAACGTTACTTGTGGTCAGTCTCCACAAATACCGATCAACAACATGCTTGTTTGCTTTGCGGTCCCTTTAAATAAAGTTTACAAGACTAAGCATTCGATCTACGTGAGAGCATCCACCTTTCTACAGCGTTGTTGGCAGGGCGGCCAGAGCGAATTTTGACGCTCTAGCCGGCGGCGGTGTGAACCCACAGTAAGAGACTTCTTTCATCATCATAATCCTACTGTTATTCCAACTCATTTGCAGGCTCCACATCACACACACATTTGACACAGGTTTTACGAATGCCCTTCCTGACACAACCCAGCACTCCAACAATTTGGCATATCCAATGCACCTAACCTGCATGTCTTTGGGGGAAACCGGAACACCCTTTGACACAGGGAGAACATGCAAACTCCACAGAGAGGACTCCTGGCTCGAACCAGGGACCTTCTTGCTGTGCCTACCCACTGAGCCACCGTATCGCCCCCATAAGACACTTCTTTCAAAAATATTACAAATCTTACTGACCCCAAACTTTTTAACAGTTGTATAATTGTGACTTGATATCTCACAATGTGGACTTTTGTTTAGGAATGCAAATTCTTCTACTCAGAATGTAGCATGAGATATTTACCTGCTCAAGATGTGACCTGCTGAGGTGGACCATTGACGCAGGCTGTATTGTGGGAAGTCTTCTTAATCCAGACAGGCCTATTACACCAGACAAACCCGGAAGTCTGGCGAATGGAGGTCCAGTGTGGCAGACACCGGTGTGGAATTCTGCTGAGGCCAGGCTGCTAGCACGCTGAGGCAAGGGGTCGGACCAGGTGCGAGGGAGGGCGAGGGGGCTGGAGGAGCGTGGCGAGAGTCCTGAGCGTTCCTCCTCATCTGGTTTAGAGCCAGCTGAACCACTAGCGCCTTCAAGCTCAACTAGGACCCACTCCTGTGAGTCACCCTCTTGAGGGACGGGGCTGAGGTTGACGGCAACGTAACCGCTACTGGCTGCCCCCTCCTCGTCCTCCAAAGAGCCCTGCTCGACCCGACAGACAGACCTGTCTTGGGACACACCTGGCCGCTGCTTGCCTAAACTAATGAGATGAAGAAGGAGAAGTGGTTATGATGTCTCTAGGGACCAAATTCACATTTATAAGGAAATTAATGAAGACTTTGTTTACGGACTAGGCCTCAAGGAAGCGTTCAATGGTGGGTTTGGGTTCGGGAGTCAGTCTCTTGTCTAGCCCCATGCTCTGACTATGGCGTATCCTTCTCAGCAAAGGAGCCACACGGTCGATGAGCAAGGTCTCTGAGCGCACACGTCTGGGAGAGCCCTGGATGGAGCCACTGTTGGGGCTCTGGTTGCCCTCTTTGCTTCGCTCCTCCTCACTAGCCACCTGAATCAGAAAAACAAGCTCATGACTACCTCCGACTTCAATACATACTATTTGGACCGGCGAAAAAGATGATGGGGAGGGTATAAGTAACATTAGGCCTACTCTTTAAATTCTTCTAATGAATTCTTCTAATGAATATGGTAACATCCTAAAATGTCAAATGTAAACTGTAAAAGTTCAAATAATACAAGTTTTGGCAAAAATTAAAGTTTTTATAAAACGATAAACCTCACATTCCAGCCTAATAAATGATTATGGATGTTATATAATTGGTCTTGACAAATGAAATGAAATGAGATACAGAAAAGCAGAAATACAGTAGTTACCACAATCATAAGATGCGGAAAATGGAAAAGAAAATGGCACTGAGACAGTCAGTTCCCTTCAGATATACATTCATATACCCCCCCCCCCCCCCCCCCCCTTGGATCACGTGAAAGGTTTATTTCAATGACAGAATGGCAAATTTAACCAAAAGGCGACAGGTTTACAGGTATGTAAGTAACAGAGTGATTAGCAGTCCTCCCATCTGAATAGTACCTTTCTGATTAGCGGCTGAACGTGGTTGAGGTTTCGGTCGCGACTACGCTCCACATCCTCCCAGACATCCGCACCCTGCGCAGGCTGTGTTGGGATGGGGGTGCAATTATCAGCCTCGCTGAGGCGCTCAGCCTGAAGGACGTCCTCTGTGTTCTCACGCTGCAGATCACCCGGGATCACAGAGGCATTGGCCATGCTAGGAGGAAAAATTCATTTGACAATGTAGACCTCAGTTTATATATAGACTCAATACACCATTGAATTATTTGATGCAGGATATCTACCCCAAATATGCAGGTGTGAGGCGGGTCAACTGCTGGGCTGTGGTTGTCAGGGTTCCAACATTAAGCGTGTCCTCTGAATCCGTTCTCTCCCAGTCATACAGGTCATTTTCCACCACATTGCAGCTTTTCATACTGTTGTCAAAGACTGACATCAGGAGCTACAACACAATGAGTATGTTAGTGAATGGGTACGCTTACAAAAATCTCTGCTAAAGAATGGCTCTGGACCTGATAATCCGGTTTAGTGTAGTAGTCCAGATTGGAGATATGGTCGAGGAAAATGTTAAACTCATTTGGGAGGTGCTTGAGCATGAGGCGATGGTTGTACGTCTCCTTCATATTTCCGACCTGTTCCTATATTGATAGCAGGATTAAGAATACCAGCAGATCTTTTATCAATGGAAAATTACAATTTGAGCAGAACTTACTTTGTCTTTGATTTTCCTCCAGGGTAGCTGACCCACCATGAACTCCACAAGCATATAAAATAATGACCAGAGGTCATCATGTCGACTCATTTCCTTTGAAAATGAAGGATGTGCATTTTAGTGAAATATGAACAAGTAATATGACCTGCTGTGTAAAGGACACCTGATCGGCATCTGCCATTGGCTTGAGAATGTGTGCAAAAAGAGAGGAGTTACCTTATTCTTGTGAGCATTAATTGAGGCATAACGGACGGTCCCTCTGAATCCTGCCACTAGTCGTGGCTTTGGACAATAAAGAGAATGTGCAGTCATAAGAAAATATATAGAAACACATTACAGGTAAAGTATTTTTGTTTTGTTTTTTAACCAGGAGAGAACCTCACTGAGAATAAAATCTCTTTTACAGGAGTGTCCTGGCCAAGATAGGCGGCCCAATTATTCAAACACACATAACAATAAAACAATACAACACACAATAAATTAGTATTAAAAATACAACCTCAGAAGCTTCAGTTCAGTCAAAGATGAAAATTCGGTCAAAATGATGACATTGAAATTTAAGTCAATGTAGGCTACACTTACAAAACTTCACATCCACCTCTACCTCTTTTTGGTTTATTTATGAGAGTTTGAGTATGATTCTGATTCATAAAAGGATTATTTAGACCAGTTTTGTGAACCAGATCAACTGATTCATTGAAAAAAAAGAAAAGAAATCATACTCGAAAGACTCACAAATCATATATCCCAACTTCTCTCATGAGCTCTGAATTCTGACTTAAATTTGGGTTATTTCTCATCCAAATCTTTCTTATGACTTCAGAAGTCTGTAATATAAGTATTAGTCATACACGTTTGGAACAACATGAATGTGAAAAAATTATAACTGAATTTTCATTTTGGGGTGAACTATCCCTTTAAGCAACACTAATATATGACAATAGCATCCTTAAAAAGACAGAGTGATGTTTCATAAACATAAGCTTTAAAATATATCGGATTACTCACTGGACGGACTTCTTGACATGAGTTTGTGAACTGGCGTGCCAACCCAAAATCAAGCATATAACAGGTTCGGCACGTACTGGAAAGTTGGCCCATTGCAAAGTTGGACTATTTGAAAAAGAAAAGGTTTGATGATTAGTTTATATAATCTAAAAGACAAAATAAATTATAGTCAATATTAAAAGTGCTTTTATGCCCAGGACTATCTGTGAGAGAGCAGACGTACGGGTTTGATGTCTCTATGCAGAAAGCCCACAGAGTGGATGCTCTCGATGGCTTCCAAGATTTGTCGGCCCAGCCTGAGTGTGGTGGAGACACTGAATGTGCCATGGCTCATGTTGCGTCTAAGGTCTGCCAAGTTCCTTCCCTGCAGTTCAATGGACAAACATCACTTCAGGTGACTGAAGTCAGGGTTGTTGAGTTACTATGACTTGTGTGAGATAACGTCCATCAATTCAGACACAAGAATAAATCATCTGACGCCCTACCTGAAGCTCCATAACCACATAGTTGAAGCGGTCATTGCGTCCACAGCCAACAAAACGACAAATGTGGTCTTTACCTACAAAATGGTTCAAAATAAAAAAATAGAGAATGTTATACAAATCCATTTGCTTGTTTTTTTTTAAATGTAATACTGTTTTTGCCCATAATAGAGTAGCACTGTAGCACACAGAGTTTCTTTCATCTTAAACGTCTGTCTTCATCTTTACCCTGAAGTCTTTTCAAAACTGCTACTTCCATCTTCAGGACCTGTTTGGGTTGCTGGGCAGACTCCACTTTCAGAGCCACATTGATCTGGTTCACCTGGTCCAGGACTTCATAGATCTCGCCAAAACCACCCCCACCAATCTTCTTTGACTAAACAGGAAAGGAAAACTTGGAATGAATGACAGAGAAATCCAGAAACAAACAAAACAAAATACACTATTGTTCAAAAATGTGTGGTTGGTAAGATTTTTAATTGTTTTTGGAAAGCTCTTATGCTCATTGCTCACCAAGACTGCACTTATTTGATAAGAAATATAGTAACATTGAGAAATATTATCATTTAATTATAAGGTTTTCTATTTTTTAATACATTTAAAAATGTAATTTATTCCTGTGATGGCAAAGCTGTATTTTCAGCATCATTACTCCAGTCTTCAGTGTCACATGATCCTTCAGCATTCATTCTAATATGATGATTTGCTGCTCAAGAAACATTTCTTATTATCAATGTTGAAAACAGTTGTACTGCTTAATATTTGTGTGAAAAATTTGATATATTTTGTTTTTCAGAATTCTTTTATGCATAGAACGTTCAAAAGAACAGCATTTATTTGAAATAAAAAAATAATGTCTTTACTGTCACTTTTGATAAATTGAATGCATCCTTGCTGAATAAAAAATATATTTTTTCCAAAAAAGGGAAAAGAGGTACCCTAAACTTAGGCAGCGTACCGTATAAATCTTTTTTCATTCTATAATTGAGTCGACAGCTTTCAAACTTGTGTTGGAGTACAGATGTTACATGACAGTTCTGGTCAGGCATGAAATAAAATGTCCTAGCAAAACAACAATTTTGTCATGAAATAAAATGCTGTGTCTCGTGACTAGGCCTATTTGTCAGCATGTTGTACAGTTTTCCGTGCTGATGTCAGCACTGCTCAACACACCTGCAGTGTATCGTTTGACTGGGCTCAAAAGGGAAAAAATCCCCTTGTCTGTGCAGAAGTTTACATAAAGGAATCTGACAGCTATCAGAACATCTCTACGGAACTAACAGTGAGTATCTGAATAGTCCTGAAGCCTTGTCCTCCTAAATACAGCTCCTTCAAAAGAACTCACCACTCTCCATCGCTCCCGGACCATGCTCCCGACAGCCAAGATATCAGTCTGCTCCACTGTTCCACTCATCCTGATGCTCAAGAGTGGACTGAGCACACTCAGAGAAGCTCTACACCTCACATCAGTGAGCTCGGGTCCTCACTGAAAATCACAGTAAGATCAGAAAAACATCAAGGCTTCGTTCAGTTGGAACTGCAGGGTTCAGGCAGAAATTAAAGTCTCCAGAGAAGTTTGCAGACATAAGAGAGATTAATTTGCCTACGATGGCTGTAGAGGTGACAAAAATAATGAAAAATGCATTTTATTGGCTGCATCCATTAGGCAGGCCTTCTGTAAAGGCACTCTAAACTACATGAATCTGACCTGTCCTAAGGTTGTCTTTTAAACAGAAGACAAGATCTGTAAAAGAAGCTGCCCTGGTTCTTTGACTGTCACTGCTAGGGTGCAGAGCAAAACTGATGGAGCTAAATACAGTCAAATCCTTGAGGAACAGGCTTACTGTAGGCCTGAAACAAGAATAAAATCGGCAAGACTTTAAGAGCCTAAATGCATATTGAGAAACATTCTACAACTTATTTACCATCCTAAGACTTGTAGATAATGTGCATTATCTTGAATAATAATATGTATTATTTTTTGTATATTATGCATGTATACTATTTTTTTTTTTTTTTTTTATTTAACAGGGACCATACAGTCAAACATAGTCACAATACAAAGCCTGTAACTGATGCGCAGCATATAGAGTTTGTAGCTAATGCTAATTTTCAACTCCTGTCCCTGGTTGGGCATGTCTAAGTACATTATAAATAGATACATACAAATAGAAAACATTCACATTTCTTCAAACACACACACAACCAGAAAAATAACAATGGTTAAAAATGGTTACATTTTTGGTTTGCCTTTAGCCACAACTTAATCCTGAAAGCGAACTTTTTTCAAGTCAGATATGACCTTAATGTCAAATGGTAACGAATTCTAGAGTCTAGAGCTCTTAACAGAAAAGGCTGTCTGTGCGAAGCTTGTCCTACAGTATGGTATTTTACAGTTATGATTTGTGATGCTTCTGGTAACTCTTTTGCTGTTTTGTATTTGAATAAATTTACTAAGTGGCTCGGGTGCTAAATTATTAATACACTTGAAAATTAATTTAAAAAAACATAAATCACTGAAGCTTTCAAAGCTTAATATATTATATTAACTATGCATAGTATTATACTGTCAATAATTGCCTGCAGTGTTGGTGAATGGTGAATTAATATAGGCCTTAAACGTCACCCACTACTTTCTATTGTTCCACTAGTCATATGGTGTAGTGACAATAAAGTGATTTGATTTGTCACAGGCCAAATGCAAAATATATGTAAATAGTCAAGTCCCACCCCACACAAAACTGTTCTGTAAGGCATTGGCAAGTGTGGTTTTTTTTTTTTGTTATCATATCATAAGTATGACTAAATTGATGTGTACGTTTAAAAATGTAATATACAAATTTGAAGAAAAAAACAACAACAAAAATGTTCACTGTAGTTTAAAATATAACATTATAATTGACACAATTCTATTAAAAGGCTTTTACTGAGGATTTAGCCATTAAATCTGTACTTAACAATCAATACTATAATGTTTCCCCCACCAGTCAGAACTGATGGATGAGTTTGCATGCAGTAACGTTACTGTTTTAATAAGGATCATCTTAAGGGTGGCTGCAGCTGGCCTGATACGTGTCTTTATTAGCTGGATGTGTTAATGAATTGTGAGCATTTTAGCTTATGCTAACATCCACAAGCAACGTTGAAATCTGCCGCTGTCTTGTAGATGTTGGTTGAGTCTTTCTCTGTCCTTACCGCATCCAGTGATAATAGAAGGAGACGTAGGACAAGGCTAGCTAAAGCTAAAGCATCAGCCAGAGCCAAATCACTGTACAAAACAGCGCAATGAAACGGTACCGCGCTAGCTAATTAGCCAAACTGTACATCTGCGCCTCAACATACAGCTATTATTGAACATACGGTTGCCAGGTTACACATTGGCAACACAATGTTGTGACAGCTGTAATCCCGTTAATACTGCGGACTAGCTCGCTAAGCACGCGCTCATTCAGGTAACCCGGTGTGTAACGTTACATTACCCCTGTATGCAGCAGCGGACCAAGATGTTTCCCTAGACCTCAGAACATCTTCTTTTGTTCTATAGACCATGATGATGTGAAATGTTAGACATAATAATCCCATAACGTTTAAAAACACAAAATAACGACTGAAGTTCACGTTTTCTGCTTCACTTCTCTCAGCAGTGCCCGCTCGATGACTGAGCGCGAGCGTACCGATGTGACGTCACATCTGGTAGATTGGGTTTGATCCCAAACATCGTTTAGAACAATAACACATAAAAACAAACACACACACACACACACACACACACACACACACACATTATATATATATATAGTTACATGAGTTAACATGAACTAACAGTTAAAAAATACGTATGCATTTATTAATTTTAATTAATATTAATTTCAACATTTACTAATACATTATTTAAATCATAAGTTGCATCTGTTAGTATTATTTAATGAACCTGAGCTAACACGAACAATGAACAGTTGTATTTCATATTAACTAACATTAACAAAGGTTAATACATTACATACTGTAACAACTGTATTGCTCATTAATGTATTAACTAATGACACTTTATTTTAAAGTGTTACCGTTTCTGCAATCATTTGTATTGATAGGCATTGTTTTAAACTTTGCATTGGGATATTGTGCTCACACACTAAAAATATGTTGTGGAATAGTGTACATATATGTAAGTGAAAAATGTCCATTAAAAATGACAAAATTATCACAATCTTGGTTTCATACAGCATTTTCATTGTAGCATTAACCCATTTAGTAGATCAATATTAGTTTTTTTTAATGTTCCCAGAAACTGGCAATAGGTTGGTTACACATGCAGTAGATGTAATTGATCTAATGTCATTTCCAAGTCACTGAGTGAAACAGGTCTGTCCTCTTCATGTTAATTTCACGTACCACAAACAGATGGATCCACAACGTAAAAAATGTTTCTTACAATAATGTGAGAGGGAATTTATACATTCATGCAGAGGGAACTGCAGTCAATCAAATGGAACACAGAAGATATCAATGCTTTATACATTTAGTCAAAATGACACTGTTTTTGAGATTATGGTTCCTTGCACCTCACTATGAAAAAACCTTGCTGAGAGCTACTTTTCTTTTTTTTCTTTTTCTTTTTTAACCAAGAAACTACCATGGACTAAAATAAGATTTTCTTGTCAGTACATAATACCCGTTTCACAGATAATTAATAATATTCCTCAAATAAAATGATTAGAGAAATAATGTGCTCCCAACAACAGCACATCATGTAACAAAAAAAAAAAAACAATAATTTGTTTTGAAACCTATAAAACACAGAATTAAAAACATTAAAATATTACCAGTATTCTAAGATTTTTGGCATTAAAATCATGTAAAAAATATTTGTTTCCATCCCTTTCATAAAGTGATAGTCTGCATACAAAACCATTTTAAAAATCTAAGCATTACTTTCCCTTTTTTATTATTTTTTTTTAGTTGAGAAATGCCCACAAACAGTGGAATTAAGCAATATGGTTCTCAAATATTGATTCAGACTTCTAAAACAACACTAAAATGTGATTCTCTCTTAAAATGGAAACAACTGTTAAAACTAAGAAAATTCTTTGTGGACAGCATTTTGTTCAGCGTCCAAAATTAGCTCTCCTGGGTGGCTTTTCCTCCACCAAGCAGTCTCTCTCTTTCAGGAGTGTCTCCCTCCTCTGCTCTCTGCTCTCTAGGGCAGCAGGGCAGTTTGTCCATCAAGGGTTTGTGGAGTCCATTGTACAGCGCTGTACCCACGAGTAGGATGATGAAGCCCAGAATCTGTAGGCCCTGAAATTTCTCCCAACCCAGCGCCAGACTCACCGCCCAGATGACTAGAGTACGCAGACTGTCCAGCACCATGCGAGTGGTGGCACTTATCTCTTTGGTGACGCTGATGCCAGCGAAGTTAAAGAAGGCGATGCTCACAGTGTTCCCCAGCAGTGCCAGGATAATGAGAGGTTTATGGCCAATCTGACAGAAGGCGTCCAGGGCGTCTTCAAGGACCTGCCGTGGGTTATCTGCAAAACTGCCCACATGGATGTAGAACATCGGGATGAGGAGGAGAGAGAGGATGACAAATCCAAAAAAACCTGAGAAACACACAGAGAGAAGACAACTAAGACACTTGGAAAGAAGTAAGTCTTGCTTAACTGACAACTTTTTTTTAAATAAACATTAAAAATGCATCTGTTTGTCAGTAGATGTTCATTAGTAACAAAGGCATATTGGATTGCATTTTTCCTGATTTCAAAGGAAAGGGGAGGACTGAAAGTCAAATAATATTACTCATCTGTAAGGGTGCTGACAGATAAGTTAATCACAGACTTTTAGGGGGGCTTTAAGATGAAAGACAGAGGTCTCAAGCTCCCCTAAATAGGGTCCAGCAACACATTTGGTATTGAAAACATTTGGTTGTATGATCAACATAGCTTCTTTTATCTTTACTACCTTTTATTGCTGATGTAATCATTCTTAACAGTTAGCTTTTTCCAGCAAGGACAAGTTGATTTGATCAAATGACAGTAAAAACTTTTACAAAAACTTTTACAGCATTTTTAAAAATGCTGTTATTTTAAACATTCTACTCATCAAAAAAATCCTACTATAACTATTTTCAACAAGGATCATAAATGTTTCTTGAGCACTACATTAGCATATTAGTATGATTTCTGAAGGATCATGTAAGGCTGAAGACACATGATCGTAACTGATAGAAAACAGTTATTTTTAAATTGTAATAAAATGTCACAATATTACTGTATTTTTTATTTCTTTCTATAACTTTTTTTTTTTTTTTTTAATCTTCCTGAACCCAAACCTTTGAACTGTATTGGATGAAGTGAGACTATAAGCATTATGACAACATTAGTATTAAGTAGCATCAAAATACTTTGCTCAAACTAGTCATCAGCTATATATGGGAATTGATTAAAAATGAATAAATCTTTACCTTCAGTCCCAACAGCCTTCAGTGGATGCACATTGTGCTTGTAAACAAACTTCTCCTCCAAGACCATCTGGACTGAAACAATAATCTGTGCCATGATGATCAAAAGGTCCCCTATATAACAAAACCAATGGATAATCAGTGATACAATACAATCATCTAAAGATGCAAGATACAATCAGGTAAAAGGAAAATATCCTGATAAACAGCTCATGAGAGGATTTTCCGACTTGTAGACAAAGACAAAGTACATCATTCTGTATGATTAAAAGCATTTGGCAGCACTAGAATTACCTGTGATAACCTCACTGAGCTTATGGGAGTCATTCCCATGGCCGTTTAGAAAGTCAGAAAGTCCAACCACCACCAGACCAAGGATGGTGACTAGGATCCCAATCCACTGGCTGGGCTGCAGACGCCGTCCTAAGAACGCTACAGACAGCAGTCCGGTGAAGATGATCACAGCTCCTCGCAGCATCTGGAAACTGGAGGCGCTGGTCATGTTCAGTGCTAGAGATATGAAGAAAGAGGAAGGAAATCTTCTTAAAACTAAATGGATGTTTTTAGATAATATAAATAAACTTACTTATATAGTTTTAAAGTAGATCTCTGCACACTGTCCAACTCAAATTGAAGTAAAAAGACTATTGACACTCACCAATATACATGATGGACGTTCCCAACATGTCACAAAGGGCAGGGGGGAGGAAAAGAAGGGGGTTGAAACTCTGGCCTGGTTCCATGGTGGGCTCGGGTTTGCGCCGATCATAGCAAAGGAGAATGTGGAACACCACCAGGCAGGACAGCTCTCCCAAAAACATTCCCACAGCCTGGAAGGGTGAGAGGAGGAGAGGTGCGATGAAGGAAGTAGTCATGTATTATTAGGGTGCATGCAGGAAAAGAGACAGAGAAGGGGAAAAGTTCTACGAAGAAAAGGAAATAGAGTCGAAACCAGTTCTCACTCTGTTAAAACATAAGATAATACTTCAGTTCTCTGCTGATCTACTGAAAAAATGTGCTCTAAGGGGAATGTTGATGTGAATAGCGTGTCGTGCATCTTAGTGAGGGTAATTGAATTTCATTACCTGTACAAAAGGGTGGGAGAAGGTATGATCTTGGGTACCATAACATCCAGGTGCAGAGAACATATCAGCCCATCTAGACGATTAACAGATTCATCTCATTAAAGGTGATGATGAGTGTCGTTTTTCCATATTAAAATTCCCTAACTTAATATGCAGTATAACTATAAATAAGGCACTTATGGCAAACATTAGCTCAACAATGGCTAAGATTTTGGATCTGTTTGTCCAAACAATGGTGGAAATGCAGCTTGTTTAGGAAACCTGTTATATTTTTTTAATAATAATAATAAACATTTTTCATACATGAAATGCAGCTCAAAGTGCTTCACAAGCATAAAAACAAATATCGGCAATACAATTTCACACAATATAAAATTAAAAATACTCAAAAGCAACTATAAAAGGTTCACAAGGTAAAATAAAGACAAACTTTCACAATTTCACACAATATCAATATACCAATAAGCAACTTTAAAAATATGTCTTAACCTGCCTTTTAAAAATATGAATGCTAGAAGCCTCTTTCACTTAATTTGGTATAATGTTATAATTTATAATTATGATTATTAGTAATAATGAGCATTTCCATACCACACATCTATCTTTCACCTGCCAGTCACTGTAAGTTTAATAAGTAACTATGCACATGATACACTAAATCACTTTTACAACCATGAAATGACAATTCATTCATGACCTCACGACAAAGAAAAGACTAGATTTAACAATTCGGTTAAACTGATTTAGCAAGACTATTTTAGAAACTGTAAAACCCAGATGCATCAACACCATCAGTGTCAGTTTTTCAGCAGAAATGGAGCGAAACTGTATCAAATATCGTCTGCCTGGAAACATCAAGCATCTGTTTTAGACACAAAGCTGTATCAAGTTACTTAACAGTATTTGTGGCAGACAGCTTCGTTCTTGACAACTTAAATCCGACTGCAAGTTATTTAATGCTGCGGTTGCACTATTGACTAATAGTCACAAGTGTTTTGGTGGCAGAATTGCTGATTTTGCAGCATCAACATGTCACGAAACAGCGGATCATTACTGCACGCGAGTCATGTAATCATCTTGTTCCAAAAAGTGCCATTTTCAACTTTATAGGTGAATGTTGAATTCATACAATGTTACTAAAAAGTTCAATCAAAAAGGTTCATCTTTCTTTAAACTTGTTTGTGTTAACATTCATTTAAAATTAATTTAGACAATACAATTACATGTATTCACAAACAATGAGGACACGATGTACAGTTTTGTGAAAGACGATGAGAAAACATCCTTGTCTGCTCTATTAATAGAGTAAAAGATGTGGGGCAACTAATAAAAGTAAGCAGAAATAACATGTAAACAATCACCATCTAGCGCGTGCGTGCTAACGTTACTTACTTTGCGGATAGTGTGTTAATAGAGCCTGTGGTGAGCATCAGACCGGCGAGAAAGAGCTGATATTTTGTCCAAGCCATGGTGAGTGTGGGACTGAGTGAGTGACCGTGAACATCAGACACTCAAGACACACTGTCTTGAGATTTGTCTATTGCTGGTGATGACTAGCTACTTGAACAGGTCGTTCCACTGTATGCAAAATGCAAATCACATGACGGCGATCATGTGACACACCAGCTGACGCTTTATTTCCGCAGACGAGTGCGCAGATCTTGCCCATAGACAGTAATCTTGCCACATTTACGAATGATAATCGTTACGTTCGTTTCAAAGTGATATTCTCTCCAGTCCTGCTATTATAGCTAAATTAGCTAAATTCAGTATTCATAAATATAAGTCTATGTTTTTAAAGTCAGAGGTTCATACCTAAAGATAATTATTATGTTAAAATAAGAAAGCTATAAAATGTGTATTGCAATTTTTGTAGTTTTATTAATTTATTTTTATTTTATGTTTATTGAATGTCCTCAGCCCCCCCTCCCCCCCATAAAAAAAGAATAATTAAATTACATCTAAAAAGGTGTGTTTTACAGTAAAAAAAGAGTGCACATCTTCTGTTTTAATATGACATATGAATCAAATATAAGGAGCAACAATAATTTGTGAATAATAATGATGACAAACTACAGTGTGTGAGACAACACGACGTACTGTTCCCTGACCTGTTGGCAAAATAATAATAATTTTAAATAATAATTAACAAATTAATATTTTACTCAAAAGTATTAGATGAGTGGCTTTTGAACTAGAAAACTTTATTTAACTCAAGATACGATATTATTTGATGAATTCTTATAAAAAAAGTTTCTTTGTTTCTCAAATGATGGGAATTTGGGGACTCGATTCCTTTGAAACCGTTGATCAAAAATATTATTTCAGATTCACGCCAGTAGATGGCGACAAGTGTTTGTTGTAAGAGTAAGAGTCGTTTAATCTTCCACTCCGATTCGTAAAAAAGTTGTCATTTTTTGTCTTGTTCAGGCTGTCAGCAGATTTGTGTTACTCTCATTCGCTCGGAGTCAGTCTAGACAGTGACGAAAGTTGTATTCGTCCAGGAGGTCCAACAAATTATATCTAGCCTATTTTTTTTACAGTCTATGTATCTAGCTCACCACCTCAGTACACAGTCACGCTTCACTGGAGACTTCAGTGAAAGAAAAGTGAACCAAAATGATTCATTCATTTAAAGAATTTTCAAAAACACTGATCTGTTGATTGAGTAACAAAATATGGCAACATGCTATTTTTGTGCTATTTGTACTTTTTATGCTCTAGTACTTTTTGCTAAAAAAAATTGAGTTACTGTTCAATTAGAAACTGTAGCCTACCTGTTTATTATTAGATGGTTCTTATTTATTAGTACTTATTCCAATAGTGACTACTAGTATTGAATTATAATTTACTAGTTATAAACAGAACTAAAATAAATAAAAAAATTAGAACTAGTATTTAGAACTTGCCTTCTTGTTGCTTTGGGTTTGTTACATCCTTACATTTTTGTGGTAAGGAGCATATGACAAAGTTACAATTACAGGCTGTTTAAAATTATATACAGCACTGAGATTTTTTCTTTTCCTTTTCTTTTCTTTTTAACATAAATGCCGACACTTTCAACACAACCTGTTGTATATCTCGATGTCAGTAAAAGTTAAAGAGATATAAATATAAATGTTGATCTCAGTAATAAAATATGACATTCCATTCTGTGCGAGAAGTTCCTTCCGTCCAATCACAGTGTGCGCTTTTGCGCCTTGTGTCGCCTCGCCTTTAATCCGAAACACGCTGATTGGTTGCGTGGGTGCGAACTGTTTTGTTGATAAATAATTTTGATGGATTGATTATTGTAAGAGGATCCGACCCCGAACTCTACGCATCCTGCTAACAGTAGGCTATTGGTAAAATTGCGCTTATACGGCAGAATGTAAACAGGAAAACAGGTTTGGTGACTACCGAGGTGTTCAAACGTGTTCGGATACAAAAAGTTGTTAGGTTTGGCAGCCTACTAGTTAGAAAGGCCTCTCGATGCATTATGACACGGTATTTTAGCGTATCATCAGATGTGCGCACTTACGTCTAGGCGTTTACGACAGACTGCATTGTAGTATGTGTTTATGGCCATGCACGCACGCTGTTGACTTTGCCCAGGGCTTGAACTGTTTTTGTAAGGCGCTGTCATCCGAACTTGAAAAGTAAGGAAGGAAGGAGGACGTCAATGTTGCAACAGTGTAAGTACGCTACAGTTCTTATCTGCTTTCATACACGACATTTCGTTGAATAAGTCAAGAAACACCAAGGAGCAAAATGCACAAATACTGAAACTTTGCAGTCTTACAGGGAAGTATGTAGGACAGTTTGCTTTGCTGTGCAGCATTACTAATACTTATATTTTGTTATAACAAATGTTTTCATCGTGGTTTCTGGGTTGGGAGAGGTCGTCAATGGTTTGAAAAGTAGTTCTGCTTGTTCTCTCTCTCCTGTATACTCTCCATATCTCTCTCTCTCCCTTTCCCTCTTCACTTCCTGTAATTCTTGTTGTCTTGCATTGCAATTTTAATGCCCCTCCCGTGCCTGTCTGCTGTTGCCTTCTGCATTTGTGTTTTTTCAGGTTTCCTGGTTTTTGACCACTATGTTCCTTCTCTACGCACAAGTCTTGCCAAATAGCCATTAATTAATGGTATGCATACGGAAATATTTGCAAATTTGGTGTCCTGTCAATCGTGAGTATGTTATGGTTGGTTAGGTAATTGGTGATCTGAAGTTTGCTTGACAAATCATTCTATTTATTGTTTCTGTAGAGATTTGATATGTTTATTCGGGGGCCAACACTGACATTTGGGTAAACTTTTTTGTATTTTATAATAAGATCTTTTTTTTTCCCATTATGATATAAGGATTCGTTTCACCCTGACATTTTAAAAAAATGTCCCCTTAAAAAATATTAAAATGAATTTTAATTTAAAAACTAAATACATGCTTATTATTAGTGAGTCCCTAAGATAATGGAAAAAATATGAGATGGGAGGAAACATTTCAATGATTTTGCATTTGTTTGCAAAAGGTTTGCGTATCCCTGAGAAACTTTGTGTTCTCTCCCAAAAAAGTGTTGCGTTTGCTCACACTCACTTAGATCATAGAAGAGGTGTGTGCAAGTTATTGTTTGTATGAATAGCATTTTAATGTATATATTTTTTAATAATGTAATGAATCTGGACAAAATTAAATGAGTGTCATGGCATTGACCTATTTGACTTTTTTTGTCCTTTTATTTTGTGTAGAATGCATACGACATTATACTCCTATTGTGACTGATTTCAAAACCTAACTTTTTGTCTTTCTCTCCTTTTTAGAACGTTTCCCTTGACTGAGGAATGACTGAGGTTTTAAATATTTACACCACCTTTATACTGCCGTTTAGAAGCAAGTGGGGAGGTGAGGCTCCTAGACCCCACATAATCCTGCATGCACTCTGCTCTGTAAAACATTATTATTATTTAACTTCGGCCTTGTTCAAACCTAATCAGGGTTATTTAAAACTGAAGAGCTGAATGCCCTGGGTTTTTGCTTGTCTTCTAGTTTTACACAACTGCCATGAGTCTTTCTCCACACCAGAGAGGAACCATAAACAGTATTAGTAAGCAGAATGTTGAAGCCATTGGTGAAACAATGCAGCATTCAGGAGATCTCTTCTACAACGTGGGAGCTCCTTCCTTGGAGCAAACTCACAGCAGTCCAGAGGGTTTGGTGGATTCTAGTCCTGAAGTCCAGGGCGCTTTCAAATCTGATAAAGGATATCCGGTCCGAGGGCATTTTCAGCAGTCGGGACCAGTGAAGTGGGTGCATCAGGACCCAGTGCAGACCTCGACTTGGTTTCAGGGCCTCCCGAACATGAAGTGGTCACAGAACTTTGGCCCTTCTCTTAGTGCTATAGATGACCCAAGGGCCTTTCACAAAAGTCATGAGATGGAGGCTATGAAGTTGGAAAAGCTTTCGCCAGGTTCCTCGCAGTCCTACACAGACACATCTCACGTTCCTGGGGCGGATTGGGACCATCACACGATGGCAGTCATGCATCATGCTCAATTCCAGGCTCTCCAACAAGGTCACATACCTGCAGACCTCCAATATCAGCCTCAGGGCATGAATCACGATATGACTGATTCCACTCTGCAACCCTTCCAGTTGGCGTTTGGACCTACCAAGCAGCCGCAGGCAACTGGTTTCCAACAAGTCTTCCAAGGCAATAATGCATCTTTAAATATGAATTACAACGAGAAGCCGAAATCACAACAGCAACTCTTGCAGTTGCAACAGCAACAGCTGCATCGTCAACACCAGATGCAACAGTTGCAGCAAATGCGTCAGTTGCAGCAGCAGCAGCAGCAACAGAATCAAATCCAGCAGCAGCAACGGCTGCATCAGATGCAACAGCAGTACCACCAGCAGAAGAAAAGGCAGGAACAGATGCAGCAGCAGCAACTGCAACTGCAGCAGCATGGACAAGGTTTTCAACACCTAGATTCTATAGAAAAGCAGCGAGCCAAACAAGAGATTGAGTCACAGGATCTTCCCAGCGCTCAGGTGAAAATCGAATTGAGTCAGACCCAGCTCACTGTCCCTCAACCACAACATCTTGTTCCTCAGGAATCAAATTACCAGGAATCTGGCCCCGCAGAGCCCACTCCAGACCTCCAAGAAACCCAAACCAAACGACAGGTCCTCCCTCGCCGCTCTCGGCGACTCTCTAAAGATGGCATCTCTCCTCAAGGCGACCAGCCCTCCAAGGACAAGGTTTCTTCTCAGAATGGAGGAGTTGGTGGAGTCCAAGGACCCACAGTGGGGGTCATTCAAAGCACTCAGAGACGGCGGAGGGCCTCTAAGGAGATCAACCTTGAGACTCTTGCTCAAAAGGCCTCAGAGATGGAATTTCTGCCAGCCAAGGTGAGCCCAGTTCATTTGGAAATCCATTTTAAGCCTAATTTTACAACAGTGGAATAGTAGAAATATGTTCTAATATTAAATGGAACATACTGGGCTAGATATGTCCTTAAATACATTTTGTGAGTGCCACTAGCGTCGCCAAACGAAATTGCAAATATATTAATTGTTTTCAAAAAGGTTTCTTGAGTACACGCCCTTACTGCCATTGGTCCAACAAACTGATAGTCTTGACCCCCCCCCCCCCCCCAACCCCCCCCCCCCCCCAAAATCCATTCCATTGGTTGTGCCACTGTTGCAGTTGCAGGTTGCTCAAATAAACAGTCATTTTTAATAACGCCACAATGTTTAAACTTTCTTAGGAAATCTATTGGCCAATTAAACCATTCAAAAGTTTGGTGTTGGTAAGATTTTTAATATTTTTAAAATAAGTTTATTATTCTCAACAGGCTGCATTTATTGTTGAAAATATAATAATTTATTTGTGAAATTTGATTACAATTTCAAATAATTATTTTCTATGATAATATATTTTTAAATGTAATTTATTCCTGTAAAGGCAAAGCTGAATTTTCAGCATCATTTCTCCAGTCTTCAGTGCCACATGATCCTTGAGGAATCATTCTATGCTAAATATGTTTTTGAAAACCGTGATGCGTTTTTTTTTTTCAAGAATCTTTAAGTAGAAAGTTCAAAAGAACAGCATTTATTTGAAATAGAAATCTTTTGTAATGTAATAAATTATTTTCTGTCACGTTTGACCGATTTAATTGATCATTGCTGAATTATTAAATCTGTTTGTTTTTTCTGTAAATAATATCTTACTGACCACAAGCTTTTGAACAGTATTGTATGCCTTAAATATTTAAAATTATTATGGGATGTTTTGCTGATGGTCTACTAAGTTGCTTTTGTTGTTTAAACAAGCTTATGAATTGGCTTATTCAAAACCTTAAAATTTTCCACTGCTGACTCGCTTTATTACGCTTTATTACTAATCAAGCTATAAAGTAAATATTACAGTACAAATTTGGCTCATAGTAGTGTTTGCTACCGAGCTTCACCAGTCATATACACACAGTATAATGTGCAGTAAAGTTTATGGAGTTAGTGAGCATTGTGAAGCAGTCTGGTGAGCAGCTGCATGTCTGCACACCTTCACATTCCACTCTCTCTCAAAATCCTTTGTTGAATTTGGGAGTGGCCGATTCACCAAGCACTATTTGCTAACATTTATCCAATCCAAACTTCACAAAACAAGAAGCTTATGGTATAAATTTATTCTTTAAATATAATGGACTGTCTTCAGATACTTCTATGTAACAGGAAATAGACATGTATTAAAAACATGGACTGTAACTGTGTTTTTAAGATCGCATAAAACCATCTAGTTGTGTGACTCACTTAAACGCTGCAGGTTGCTTACACATAATTAACTTTATTTGTGCCTCTTTATCCCTTGATTTTTTTTTTCTCCATTTATATTTACTTCTGTCTTTTTAATCTTCTCTTAATAGTGTGAGGACATTACCCCTGGTAGACCAGCTGGTATGGCCCCTCTAGTCATCCCAGTCTCGGTCCCAGTTCGAAGATGTCAAACCAAAATGGAAGTGCAGGGCAGCTGGGCACAGACGGATAATGTTCGGAATCCCTCAGAGGTTTCACATCAACAGAACCAGCCTGATCGCAAACCCTCTGTTATTGTAGCACGCCGGCACTCATTAAAGAACTCCGCATCCGAGAGCTTCTTCCAGGTACAGGTTATTGTCAAGTCAAGTCAGCTTTATTTAAATAGTGCTTTATACAGCACAGATTATTTCAAAGTATCTTTACAGTGATAAACAGGAAAATAATGATCAATGATGCAAACAGAATTCAATTATGCTGGAAAGAATCACTAAAAAAGACAATAGTGTCACTATTCAGCTTAAGTCAGTTCAGTGTGGTTCAGTTTGGTTCAGTAACTGTGTAAGGTTAATACATTATAAAATGAGTTCAATTCAGCCATAAAGCAGCTCTGCAGAAAACAGTGATGCCGTCAACCAGCCCAGTTCATTTCTCATCCAATAGTGTCAGTGCAATCAAATCAATAATATTGCTGAATATTAAGTGTCCCCGACTAAGCAAGCCAAAGGTGACAGTGGCAACGAACTCAAATGGTTCTCAAATAATTTACATGCTTTTGCACACTAAAAGTGTACTTGAGCTTTTAAAATGTTTTTCTTTCTTCTGCCGAACACAGAATAAGATATTCTGAAGGGTCAAACAGTTGACTGTTGTCATTGACTTTCACAGTATGGGGGGAAAAAAAATACCATGTAAGTCAATGGCTACTGTCACCTGTTTGGTTACCCACATTCTTAAAATGATCTTCTTCTGTGTTCAGCAGAAGAAAGAAAAACATACATGTCTGAAACAACTTGAGGGTGAGTATATGATGACAGGATTTTCATCTGTTTCTACCATTTATGTTTCTATCAGGGTACCGGGCAAGAGGACAAATCCAGGCGCCGCCCACGACCTGAGCCTCTGGTCATACCTCAGCCATGCACTTTCATCGCCCCTTCTGTCTACTCCAGCATCACCCCCTACCAGAGCAATCTGCGTTCCCCAGTGCGCCTGCCAGACCATGCCAGCATCATCCCGCCGTACACCCCTCCGCCCATTCTTTCACCTGTGCGTGAAGGCTCTGGGCTGTACTCTGTTCTGTTCCTCTCTTCTATGTCAGCAGGCAGCCAGATCCTGCCACCCCCATCCACACCCCGAAGCAACACACGAAGCTTGCTGCGCACAAGTACGTTCCACCTTGCATTTTTGTATTTTTATTAGGAAAAATGTACAACAGTGTTCTAAGCATTAACATTTACTAATGCTGTAGTTATAGTAAACTACAAATGAACAATAGTTTCTTACAGCATTTTTTCATTTACGTTAATGTTAATTTACAGTATAAACACACTATTGTTCATTGATAGTTGTCATTAATTAATGTTAACGTACAACTTTTAATGGTATAAATAATAATAAATGAACTAATAATGAAAAATACTTTTATTATTAACATGGTAATTGTGCTAACTAATGTTAACGTATGTAACCTTATTGTAAAGTGTCTCATTTTTACCGTCAGTATTTGATTGTTTATTCATACTTAATAATACCTAATTAATAATAACTTCTAATTCATCTATTAATAAGTATCAATAAACTGGACATTCTTACTGCATTTATTAATCTTCTTAATTAATGTTAATTTACATTGTTAGTTTATAATTCATTAACTAATGTTAATTAACGAAATGTTAAAAATCTATTAGTATATGTAAAAATAAAACTTAACCTAGATGGATAAAAGCTGTAATTGTTTTGTCCATTAGTTAATGCATTGGGTATCATGAACTAATAATGTTAACAAACGTTTTTGTAAAAAAAAAAAAAAGTAGTGTTATTGTACTAGTTGTTAGTTCACGTTAACTATTGTGCTAACTAATGTTAACTTACACAGCCTTAATGTAAAATGTCAACCCTTTTTCACTATTTGTTTATTCATGTTTATTCTTACTTATTAATTCCAAGTGTAGATGAACTGTGTAGTTCATCATATTGACATGATTAATCTCTCTCTTGCTGACTTTATTTTCTGCTTTTCAGGCAGTTCTGATATCAGTCCTCCTGCACTCCCACTGTTTGGAGAAGCAACGCCTGTCAGCCTAGAACCGTGAGCACTTATTAAAAAAAGCTATTCATCACAATCACTGTCCATTCATCTAATCTATTTTCCCTCTCTTGCATGTTTAGGCGCATAAACATCGGCTCTCAGTATCAGGCAGAGATTCCAGAACTATGGGATCAGACTTTGGCCCTAAAGGACCAGCATAAAGCAACTTTGGTCTGGCTCCCTAATTCAGAGGCTGATTCTACGGCCTCCCAGGATACAAGATGTAACTTGTCTTTAGACAGCATTGATATAGCGAATGTTCTCCAAATACATATAACACAGACATACACACATATTTCCATTCCAATCCTTATTATTTTCCAGTTGATGACCTTATGAACCTGGTCTGCTCCAGTGTCATGTGTGGAGGAGGAACCAACCCAGAGCTAGCAATGCACTGCCTGCACGAGTGCAAAGGCGATGTCATGGTGAGCACAGTCCTCAATGCACAGTTGTTTCTCTTCATTCTTATTTGAAATGAGTTGTGCTGTTTAATAGTTAAGCAGAAAATGTGAAATTTAATGCGTGTTTGCTGAAGAAAATTATTAATTCTATTAAAAAAATTGATTTTGCTGGCCCCAAACATTTGAACGGTTGTGTGTCTAAAAGTGTCCAAATACTTATTGGAGCCACTGTATTTGATGCATAAATATGTTTTCTGGAGAAACAATAAATGTTGTTTTGACTCTGTAGCAAGCTCTGGAAATGATGATGATGAAGAATCCCATCTTCTCCAGGAACCACCATCTGGCAAACTACCACTATGCAGGTAGAAACTCATTTACAGAAACATAGTTGTGGGCAAAAAAAAACTAATTAATCACACATTTTTCTGAAATTAATCGCACCTAACGTTAAAATCTTTTTATATATATTTTATATTGCAATGCATATTTTCACACTGAATCTCGAAATTAATGCAGAAAAAACTAAAGATATTTAAAGACATTTTAAATCTTTGTTTAATGACATCTTTTTACTAAGTACTATTAATAAAGGCATCAGTGATACCAAATATTGCTAATGGTGTCTCTATTAATTCGATTTTTTTTAATCAATTTCTCGGGATGAAATAATTAATACCCTTTCAACATTACAGTATAATATTGCAACAACCTTTAATTTAAATGAACTTAAAACAAACTTCACTAGGGCTGTCTTTGTTTGTCTAAGAAACAATTTTGATTATGACGATTAATTAGTCTCTTTAAGCTGCATTATATTTCTCAGCAACAAGGTGGAGGCATTGCTGTTTTTGAAGAAACTGTCTTTTGGTCTATGTCTTTACATTGTGACTTCTAAAAGAGTGGTTGTCTGAAATATCTGTGGTTACATCAAATAACAGCCACCAGATGGTTATTTAATAATCATGACAGGCCTAATCTTCATATAAACCCATTATAATAAATGTCACACATTTAGCTGTGCCTTTAATATAGTGTGTTGTATATAGTGTATATAGTAATATAATGTTTATGTCTCTGACAATACCAGCTATCTCTGCTTGAAGAAGAGCTGTCAGGTTTTTTTCCCCCTAAGTTTATTTTCCACATTCATTTAAAAAAAGTTAAAACATTTGGCATCACTATTTTTAAGTGAGGATCAGTCCTTGTGATACAAGTCAGTATTGCAATATTTACACATTTTTGCTCTACACCACATACTGTGACGCTAGCCAAAGATGCCAGGTAGGGATGCTACATTAACTGTTAAACGCGTTAAACAGAAAATATCAATCGCAGAAATGAATGTGTTATTTTTGACAGCCCTAACATGCTGTCACTGTAAATGGATATTTAAATTATTGCAATTGCAATCCAGCAGATTATCTGTAATGTTTTATGGTGGATAACAAGAGAGTAATGTTCCTTAAATATTGACAGGATCAGATTGCTGGACTGTGGATGAAAAACGATTCTTCAACAAGGGAATTTCTGCTTACAGGAAAGATTTCTTCTTAGTGCAAAAACTAGTATGCAGTCTTCTTTTGGTTCTAATATATTGGTCATATATTGATCCATATTAAGTAAATAAATATGTTTTTAAAAAAATACCTTTTTAAGGTGACATTGTGTTTTTGTTAATCTGTCTGTTTTGGCAGGTGAGGACTAAAACAGTGGCACAGTGTGTGGAGTTCTACTACACTTATAAGAAACAAGCAAAGGTTGGTCGTAATGGGACTTTTACATATGGACCTTCAGACCCAGAGGAAAGCCTCCCTGTGGTAAAGGCTGTTACTGCTGTTAGACATTGTCATTGTCTTTGACTTTTTAGCACATGTACAGTGGGATCCAAAAGTGTGAGACCAGACTAAAAAATCATTCATAATTTAAATATAAACAAAATTTGTACACTTATAAAATCTGTGCTACAATAAATCTGTACAATTTGATGCATGCATGCTGGTAATATTTGCCTCTGTGAGACTTTTCATTTTCATATCATCAGTCTGTTCATTCATCTCCAACATAGATGAATGTGAAAGAGGAAGAAAATGATAGTAAACACCAGGAGGGAACACAAGATCATGTGGATGAGCGTCTTCAAGATGTGACCAAGACACTTCAGGACAATGAGAATGTGAGTATTTGGAGTGAAAGCATACTCCTCTTTGTATATAAATATAGTAAATACACCATAAAGACTTTGTCATGTTTCTCTGGGTTGGAATATTAAATGTCTTGTTATAGCCAAATGAGTAGCTCATTCTATTTGCACGGTTGTATTTACTGGCTCATCCAGAAGAGGGCAGACGTGGCTCATGAGGACCAAAAGAATGGCTCTGCAAAAGAGTCTTCTGGCCTGATGCCAGCAACTCAACCCTCCTTCAAAACTCCTTCGCCTGCACCTCCGAAGCCTCGCTCCGACAATACCGGGAAGAAAAACAGGGCTTCAACTGTCAACAAAAGTCAGGGAGAGCCAGAGGGCATTTTCCCTTGCAAGAAGTGCAGTAGGTTAGTCAGTTTGTATATGCTGGTCTATGAATTTTGACTCTGAAAATTAAAGGGGTCATATAATGGTACATGCACTTTTACAAGTTGATTGTACTGAAATGTGTGTTGGCAGTGCCTGTACACAAACATCATATAATGATAAAAATCCATCCAGTGGTTTTGTTTTAATCTCCTTATATGTTTTCCCCTGCCTCAAATCGAGCCGTTCGTTTTTGTGACGTCAATAAAACGGACGCCCCTCCCACGATTGTTGATTGACGGGAGCGTTTCAACACAGACCCGCCCTCGCACATGAGGTAGCTGTCAATCATAGTCTGCGCGGCGCGGACCGGACCGGCGCGGTCATTGTTGATATGCTGGAGCTGTCTATGAGCAGAATGGCGTCTAAGCGATTGTGGTGTTCTGTTCTTGGGTGTAATAACGAACACAGTCATTTTAATGTTCCTAAATCCGAACCGCTGAAGACGCAGTGGCTGAGTTTGGGTTTCGAAGGGAATATTCCCCACGAGCAACGTCAATGCTCTCATGTTTGCGCGAATCATTTCACACACCAGACTGCTTTATAAACGAGGGTCAGTATAAAGCTGGATTTGCTAAGAAGCTTTGCTAAAAAGGATCGGTACCAGATATTCGTGTTCCTGCTGAACCTCCAGAAGAACGGAAGTGAGTGAAACGTTTTATTAAACTTTATATTAATATATTAATCTTTGCAAATCGCTAGCTGCGCGCTTCACAATGAATGCGTCTAAGGTTTACACTCAGGGTACATTACGGCATGTTTTCTATGTATGACGTTCTCAATATAATTCATAATTCCACGTTTAGGGCCGTTACATAGTCAACGCGAGCAAGCAACGCGAGCAAGCAACGCGAGCAAGCAACGCGAGCTACGCGCTCCTTTTCATAGTACACAAGCGTCACCGGCGATGCGTGAAATGCAATACACCGATTGCGCAGCAGGGGGTAGTAGAGTTTAGAGTCGGGTCACGTAAAATTCAGATCAAAATGGCAACTGAAGAGGAGTGCATATTGCTGATTTTACATCGGCGGCAACAAAGGATGTATACGAACAAGCTCGCATAACTTTTCCTCTTCGCCCGCCATTGTATTCAAATCTTCTTCTTCTGTAAACATAATAATATACCTTTTTATGTACATTACTTGCAATGTCGCCCCCACCGACAACGCATAGTATTGCGTGCATCGGCGCGTCGCGTATCAAAAACTAGGACGACACATTTGGCTACGCATCGACGCATAATGGCGGCCGAAGCGTAGCGATGTGTAGCCTTGCGCACGCGTATGCGTACCGATGCGTTGACTATGTAAGGGCCCTTATACTGAACAACGCGTTATGGCTATTGTGTTATTGTGTTACAAACGGTGTATGCACAGAACAGAGGGGCGGGGTGAGCAAAGCTCATGATCATTTAAAGGCATATGCACTGAAACGGCGTGCTGAAAACAGAGCTGTTTTTGACCAGGTAAAATAAGTGTTTTCTTACAATACTAATGAGAATTTTTAATTAAAGTATATTACAAACTTTTAATTTAGACCCTTAAGAATCATATTAGCTTGTACAAAAATGGCATTATATGACCCCAAACTGAATTAAGCAAGTTTGTCTTAGTTGCATTTACCTCAAAGGACAGTTGAGAACAGTTTTTTTCCGGAGCTTTCTTAAACTAGTTGCACCTATATGAGGGTTTACACTGTATTGTATTTTTACTCTTACTCTGGTTGCACTTTATTTTACAGTATGTGCACTTAAGTGTACTTAGTACCTAGTTATAACCCAGATATTCCAATTAATATAATAAATGCATAGTATGTACATGGGGAACAGGACTGTAAAATAAACTGCTAATCTTACTCTTGTACTGTACATCTTATCTAAGTAGAATAAGAGTGAGAATTCTGCCCACTGAACTCTTTATCTCTGGTCTTCAGACCAGTTTATCTGGGTATTTGATATTCAGACACTGAATATATTACTTTCAATATTAATGTTATTATCATAATAAATGTATCAACATATTAAATATTAAAATATAATTTTGCAATATTAAATGTAATGGTAATATTCCAATAATATTACATCTAGATGGATATTTTCCAAATTATTTAATATATAAATATTTCAATATCATTTATTAACTAATTTTATATATGTGTCCTGCAAGGTTAGTAGAGTACTCTTAACCAGAGATATTATGATGATAATAATTGTATTAATAATAATATGTCATTGGTCTGAGGCCACATAATAACTCAGCAATTTTATTCTCTAAAGCAGAGGGAAATGATTTAACTTATGTTTAAAAGTATCATTGAAGATTTAGATTGTTACTCACCCTCATGTCGTTCCAAACCATACGATTTTCGTTAATCTTTGAAACACACATGAAGATATTTAAATTAAATCTGAGAGATTTCTGTCCCTCCACTGACAGCTACGCAACAACCACTTTTTCACGCTTCAAAAAGTTAACAAAGAGATTGTAAAACTAATCCATATGAATTGAGAGGTTTAGTCCAAATTTTCTGAAGATACAAGATCGCTTTATATGATGAACAGATTGAATTTATGCTTTTATCAGCGAAGATAAACAGAAGCTCAACTGTACTTGCAAACTCGTACAGAACAAACCTCATTGGTTTTTGCGGAAGCTCAAACATGCTGCGTAACACAGGAGAATAAACCTCATTGGTTCTTGCACATCAAGTGAACATGCTTGAGTTTCCGCTTATCATAACAGATGTCCGAGTTGGTTTATATGTGAATTAAAGCCTAAATTCAATCGGTTCATCATATAAAGCGATCTTGTCTCTTCAGAAAATTTCTCATATGGATTATTTTTACGATCTCTTCATAACCTTTTTGAAGCTTTAAAATGGTAGTTGCATAGGCTGTCAATGGAGGGACAGAAATCTCTCAGATTACATTAAAATATCTTCATTTGTGTTTCGAAGATGAATGGAAGTCTTACGGGTTTGGAACGACATGAGTAAATGATGACAGTATTTATATTTTTGGGTGAACTATCCCTTTAAGGGCAAATTGCTTTTTACACTCTTTTTTTCTCATTGTCTGCTTATGCTTTTATAAATCCCTATATATTCATAACATTCACACAGCTAGCCAATGGTTTTAGGTGTGTGTGTATATATATATATACACACAAATATAAAGTAGTTTCTTATTTTAAGCAGTCCTTGTACTTATTTTGACGTCCTTGTGTGTGTGTGTGTATGTATAGGGTGTTCTATAAAGTGAAGAGCAGGAGTGCTCACATGAAGAGTCACTCCGAGCAGGAGAAGAAGGCAGCAGCACTGCGCCAAAGAGAAGAGGAAGAGCGAGTGGCTAAGGCAAAGCAGGAGATGCTAGAGGCAGCAAAGAGGAAGGAGGCACAAGAAGGAAAGAAAGAAGAGAGTAGTGGAGCTGAGGACAGCTCAGCAGAGCCAGATGATGAGCTGGATGAGGACTGGCATTGAGGAACTAGATGACTCCTTTAGTAGTCTTCTGTAGTACCAGTTGGTACCAAAAATGGGGCAGTTGGGATTTTTGAAATGATAACAGTGGATGATATGCCTTTTGTCTTTTTATTTTTACCAAAATTTTATAAGAACTTTCCTTTGGTATATATTTTTAAAAAATCCAGATGTCTGGCAATTTTGCATCATTCACGATGAATGAGCTTGATATGAAATCGAATGAATATGAGCGTTAAACTTTTCTAGATAGTACCCGAACAAGTTTTGTATGCATTCAGTGAGATTGTATTTTTTTATGTGTTTATGTAATATACATATGTAATCAAGAACACAGACTAAAATCCCCTTCCTTCTACCTTCTATATTTTCAATTAAATATTTCTTGTGCATGAAATGTATATAATGCATAAAGAATCTCTTTGTATTATATTGTGTACAATATTGATCCTGTTGTGTGTTTTTTCCAGGACTCTAAACTTAAAAGAATGTGTATTTTTATGTTTTCGATGCACTTAAAGGGGAGTGGAGTATTGGGATTAAGGGATTTTTTAAAATAAAACTCACATGTAAATGCAAATCACAAAAAAATACATATTTGACATATTGATCACATTTTTCACACTTTGCTGACTAATGTGACCACGCTTAATATTTGCTATTTTTCATAAATGTGTGCACAATAAAAACAAACTTTCGGTAAACTTGTATTATTTGTCTTGATATAATAAATATAAAAGGAAAAAGTTCAATTATCATCATCACATTCGGTATTGAAAGAAGAAGACAATACTCTTTAATAGTCATTTAGGTGATTACACTGTTTAAATGCATTCAGCGTTTGCTGGTTGCTATAAACAAGTAGTTTGGTCAATCTCTTCAAATGAAGGTTAAAATAACTATCATTAGTATCAGAAGAGTAAAAGACACCTGGATTTTTCCACTGCTACCACCTGCAAATAAGAATGGCATTAATTGGTTACTAAATATTTCTAAAATCCACACGGGTAGTAAAAACAAAATGGTTCAAATAATTTGTTAGACTGACAGAAAACTCTTCTGAGAGTCAAATCAAATGCTTACCAACGTCAAAGTTATCCACTAGCATGCCTTTGGTGTCACTGAGACTTCCATTGTTTGCTTCTGGAACTACACCCAAAAGCTTACACATCAACGGATAGATGCTGACACTGTCAAAAGGCTCAGCCAAGAAATTATTCCTAAAGTCTGGTCCAAAGGCTCGAAAGATCATTTTCATATCCATTTCCTCATTACTGAATCCATGATCTCCTTTGTTGATATGCAAAAGGATCCTCTGCACAAACAGAAAACAGATTGTTAGAATAGAAATCAGTATGATTACTTCAGGTAGGCTGTTTACATAAATTGACCCTACCTCAAAACATGTAGCTTAAAGGTGCTTCAAGTAGTATTTACTATTTACACTACTGTTTGGACGGCAGATTTTATTTATTTGTTTTTTGGAAAGAAATTCATCTTAATTTTTTTCAGCAAGGATGAATTAAATTGATCAAAAGTGAAAGTAGACATTTGTAATATTACACAAGATTTCTATTTTAAATAAATGCTGTTCTTTTGAACTTTCTATTTATCAAAGAACAACAAAAATATTCAGCAGCACAACTCTTTTCAACATTGATAATAATAGATTTTTCTTGAGCGCCAAATCAGCATACTAGAGTGTTTTTATAACAAATAAATGCTGCTTTGGTGAGCATTAAGACATTTCTTTGTAAAAAACAAATAAATAAAATCTTATTTTTATTGATATGTTACTGATAAATGATAAAAACTAGCTAAATAATGTGGAGCTTGTACGGCATAATTACCATGTTTGGCTAAATATATTGTCAGATTGTACTAAGTAAATAGACCCTTTTCACAGACTGTGATGACACATTTCCACAGTTATCAACATCGCAAATAGTAAAGTTTTTCAAATTTTCATTTAAAAAAAATAATATTTAACGCTATAGGATATTGTGTTATTACCTTGTCAGTAAACGACAAAAAAAAAAAAAACGAATTAACGCTGCTGCTGTCAGGGTTATGCTCTGTATTCTTGTGTTTTGTGTAAGTTTCCTTTGTTCCTGTTTTCCCGCCACTAGTTTGTTTCCATAGTTCCCATTGATTGTTTGATTATGTTCACCTGGTTTTCATTCAGTTTCCTTTGTTTGCCTTTGGTATTTCTGCTACCTAGTTGTTCTGCTACCCGTGTTCTGAAGTTTTCATTTGAGTTAAGTTGAATTAAAGTGTATATACTACTACGCCAATTAAATCTAGCTTTTATTTCCAGTGTTTCCAGTTTCAAATACAACGGCTGAGGAAGTGATGGCAAATTTTTCATCTTTCTCTCTCATGGCCAATGCATTCAGTCTCTCTATATTTTTCCCTCAGTCGTGGAAACTTCGTGGATTTTTTCTTTTGAAACTGGAGCAAATGGAAATACAAAAATTATATTTGCTGTCATCTCCCATTCACCGCTATAGAAGTTTACACAACTTGACGAATTCTGCTTCTGAGAACCCCGGAAATGTGAAAAGGGTCCATTGGGTAAAATGATTTTTTACATTTATTTCCAAAGCCACTTACAGAGTTGATATTGAACCCCAGGTCTGCCAGAAGGACTATAGGTTGAATTCTCTCATGTTTGCTTATGTGAAAGTGTTCTGGAATCTCTTCTTTCATAAAGACCGTCAGATTGGGATGCACATTCTTCAGGGCATTATAAACTTCCTGTTCTTTGCCCTCCTTAGGTGTGATCATCCCAAACCCACCATAGTCGAGCAGGTCAAAGCGGGATAGATTGAATAAACTCATGTAATTGGTAAGTTTTATCTCATTAACCTCAGTGGCCTTTTTAATAGTGGTCATGCCATGATCTGAGGTCAGGATGATGTTAAGATGATCAGTCAAACCGTTCTTGTGAATTGCCTCCCTGAGGTAGCCAATAGTGCGGTCGATCTGTTCAATGATCTTTCTTCTCGCTGGAGTTTCGGGGCCTTCAGTATGACCCACATTGTCTGGTTCTCCATAGTACAGAGTAACAAAGTCAAAGTCCTCTTTGGTGAACCATCCCATAACAGTGTCTATGTTCTGCCGCCAATTTGTCTCATTGTCATCAGGTTGACCATGATCTTCCACCAGGGAACGATCCACAGCTTGCCCACTGTATTTTGCTCCTCCACCAGGATAGAAAAAAGATGCTGTTTTCAGACCCTTTGAAATATATAGGAGAAGTTACTGGGGAAGACCAGTATGGTATGTGTCAATTAATTTACAATGATGGATGATTTTACAGGACATATTTAAACTACTGGTCAAAAGTTTAGAATAATTTTTTTTCTTTTTAAATAATGGTTTTGAAAGGCCCAGTTTCACAAACAGGGCTTAGACTAAGCCAGGATTAGACCTTAGTTCAATTGGGGCATTTAAGTGGCTTTTTATAAATGTGCCTTAGAAAAAAACATTACTGGTGTGCATCTTGAGAAAAAACAATGGCACTGCTATATTTTAAGATATGTCTGTGCAAGTTGCTTTCATTTAAAATATCTCAAACATGCACTTTAGTCTGGGACTAGCTTTTTGATTTAATAAATGCAGCCCTGGTGAGCTTAAGAGACATATTTCAAAATCAATTAAAATATCTTAATAATTCTAAACCTTTGACTTGTATATATATATAATAATTTATATATATATTTTCTTTTGTATTTCGTCCTTACAATCTGCTCACAAAAAGCTTGTCAGAGGAGCAAGTTCACCTGATTCTGGGCTGTTATCCACAGGGGCAAAGCACCATTATCCCACCATTCTGATTTTTTAAGCGTTGCCTTATGGGTAAGTCTCAACCCAGTTGTAACATTGAACATCAGGTTATGGACCACACCATGATCCTCTATCCATCTTCCTAAATGAAAGATTAAGATACAATCATATTGTTATACCGTGCTTTACAGATATATAGTCAGTATTAATTGTCACTATACATAATGTTGAAAATTGTATTCAGTCATATCAACCAATCGGTCTCTGTGGTCAAATAGTGGATTCAAATGAACTAAGATTAATTGTGAGCACAGTGTGCATGTAGACCCACATTTCTTTTTTTTTCTTTTTTTTTTAACTCAATACTCAAGAACTGTAAATCGGCCATTGAACAAGGTTTATGAACTTGGAACACTGCTTATGTAAACAACCTTAAAGTTGGAGTTCATGCTAACTTTGCACAGTGCCATTTAATGAGGTTGAGGTTATTGGCCAATTAAGTGTGCTCAGCAGCTCTCAATACACAGTTTAAGACTTTGAACATCATGATAATGCAGACTGGACAAGGATATGAACACTAACACAGTAAGCTATGTTGGCACACACAACACATCTGTGTGAATCAGAAGCATGAATATTTGCACTTATTTCTGCAAAATTATATTAAACAATTTTCAATTTCATTAATAGGCTATAAAATTAATATTCTATATATAATTATTAATATTAATCATTAATTTATTAATAATTAATAATGTACAGTATTAACATTTATGTTTTTAATTTAAAACTTATTCACACACACACACACACACACACACACACACACACACACACATATATATATATATATATATATACAGTATGTATATGTATAAATATATATATTTATTTATTTATTAATCTCAAGTTTGAGTTGTTAATCAGTGGCTATTTAGTGACTCAAAATGAAACTAATTTCTCTGACCAATCAAATCCTATGCAACGGGTTTAAACAACCGCTGATTTAAGTATGCATTACAAAAGCTATACCAATTCAGTGTTTGGATGAATTGGGCCTTTGAATGTCAGAGCTTCTGTTCTGCTCTTTTTGTGGTATCCCTTCTGTAAAGGGTGTATTCTACACAAACATTAATTAGATATAACCAGAGTGTTGAGCCTTACCAGTAATAGTTGTAAAGTGTGATGGAGATGTCATGGTGATCGCTGGGGGATTAATGTACTTTGCCTTCACTCCCTCTTTAACAAGCTTGTCCAGATTTGGTGTGTCCGCATCTTGGTCGTAATCCCACCTGAAACCATCAAAAGAGATCAGCAACAACTTATTATACGTCTTCCTTTCGGACAGGGGTTTACTGCTCACACAGAGAGACAAAGCCAACACCAGCAGAAGTTCTGACTTCATCTTGAGAGACTGTTAAGCAGAATGAAAATCAGCAAAAGCTGATCTTGGTGTTATTACCAGGCGTTATCAGGGGACTGATAAGACAATCTATAGTCTATATTTTCTGTAGTTCTTAAGTCAGTTTGTTGGGTAACACTTTACAATAATAGTACATGAATAATCATGTACTAATACCTGAATTAATAATTACTTTATGAACTAATGATGAGTTAAGAAATGTACTAATGAGGAACTAACCTTACGGCATGAGTCATATGAATTCCTGCATGAATATACCATCTTAACTACACGTTAGTACATGCTTGTTAATTAATGTATTATTTAACATTTCGGGGTAAACTAAATCAAACTTGCTCTAGAAAATGGACACATTTTGTGGCCCAAAA